CTTGGCCAGAGGTGGTTGTGGTTCGGATGAGAAATGCCCCCCCCCACAGTCTCAGGCATTCGAACACATGGTCCCCAAGCGATGGCACTATTTATGGAGGTTTAGGAAGTATGGCTTTGCCAGAGGAAGTATGTCACTGGGGGGTGGGCTTTGAGCACGAAAGCCTCAGTTTCTTCCAGCTCATTCTCTCCACTTCACACTTGTGGCTCAGTGTGTGAGCCCTGAGGCTCACCTTGCCTGCTGTTTAGTGTAATCCCCGCTACATGATGGACTCTTATCCCTCTAGAACCATAAGCTCAAATAAACTCTTTCTTCTATAATTTGTTTCAGATCACGGTGTTTTATCACAGCAACAGAAAAGCAACTAATACAGAGGTAATTCTGTTTGGAATAGTAAACATGTCTATCTTCAGTCCCTTGGTGAGGGAATATGACCTAGAAGTGTGACACAAATAATCTTTTCCTCCCTTAAATTGCTTTCGGTCATGGTGTTTCTCACAGCAACAAAAAGTGAATTAGAGAAGATCTTGGACATTTCTTATGTTGACAATCATGTTATCTGGAGATCATGAAAGTTTTGTTTTACTTTCCTCTTGGTCAATTTTAACTATGAACATTATCTATGTCCTTTAGATTTTCAGTACAATATTTTGTGAAGGATGGAGTTGGTATCTTTTCTATAACACATTGGACTTTAGAGGGAATGCTACTAATTTCACCACTGACAATGATGCCTTGCAAGATTTAATAGATCTCCAGATTTGAAATAACATTTTAAATCTATGAATCCCAACCTCTGGAAGGTAGCCACTGCTAAGCTTCCAGGCTGGGGCCATCTTCCTAATTCATCCCTTTCTTGGTGAATGAACGATCCATTATCCCAACTAGAAACTCCAGTATGCTGTTGAGTTTTCTGGATTGGTGTTAGAACAGATCCATTTTATTGTGCCTGCTCTCTATGCCTTTTGATATCCCTATTCACAGAATTAACATCTGTTTTGTGTGAGCCATCACTCTCATCAAGCTTCATAGAACCTTCTAGGGGTTATTAGAACTTCCTTCCAGAGGCAACATTAATAAACCCTGCATCATGGAAAGATATCCCCAAATGGGCAAAATCTGCCCCATGGAGCTTTGCAGTCTAGTTCCCTGATCCAGCAGCCTCAACACTTACCTCACAAATGGCCCACTCTCTCCTTCTCAGGAGTGTTCTTTCTCAGTGTCTCTAAAATGTATATCTTCACCTGTACCCTGTCTCAACTCAACAGAGTTGGCAATCTCAGCAATTGCATTGCTAAGGCATTTTAGGAACCACTGCAACTGTATGTAGCACTGTAACAGTGTTACATTCTGGCTTCTGTGGAACCCACCTTCAGAATTCCATCCTTAGGGTCCTCTTGCCAGAATATCATAGTTGAATGTGTTCCTTATATGTAAAGGATGAGACGGGCAGTTGAGGGTGTGTTGCATTGTGGGAATGCTCTTTGGAAAAAAAAAGGATAAAGGAAAGCTAGGCAGGAAATAGAGAAGAGAATGACAAAGTCATCTCAGGTAAATTTCAGCCTTGGCCTGATCCAGAAGATCATGATAGAGGTACCTTCCTCTAAGGCAAATGTGTGGCCTTTGCCTCTGAGCCAGCCACAATGGGGCAAAATGTGTAACCTCTTAAGGAGAGTTGAGTCAGTAAAGCACACCTGCCAGCAAGGGAACCTGTGAGACATTAACCACCAGGATCCAAAGGAGTTGGAAACTTGGCATGCCCATCTAAGAAAGAGGGTCTGGTGGGCTGCTGTAGCACCTACTGTGCCCCAAGACCCTAAAGCAGTGTCCTGAGAAGGGCCTACCCTGATCCACAAATTCTCTCTTCTTCCTCCTAGCCCTAGATTAGTTCATAGCTATTGCCTCTACATTTTCCTCATCGCGCTGGAATCGCTATCCCCACTATTCCACTGAGACTGCTGTTGTCAACAGCAACCACCCTCTCTGTTCAGTGCACACCAGGTAACCACCACTCTGGCCTTCACCCAGGGCTATAACACTCCCCTGCTCCTCAGTACCCTGCCCCTCCATCTTGGTTCTTAATACCACGTCCGGGCTCCCACTAGAATCCCAGGCTCCTTTCTAGAGGCATCACCCACTGGATGTCTAGCAATCATTTCAAACCTCATGACTCTGGAATCCCTTCCTCTTTCGCCTCTCTTCTTTTCCCTTGTCCTCTCATTAGAGGCTGGCAGATAAATCCCTTGTCAGCACAGGCTGCACCGGCTTGACCTCTCTTCATCTCCATTGTAGTGATCTTTTCACTGGCCTCCCTAAACAAATAATCTACCCCCCAAACACAATGAAGTACTACTCGGAAGAAAAAAACAATAGAATCTTGAAATTCCCAGGCGAATGGATGGAACTAGAAGAAACCATCCTGAGTGAAGCAACCCAGTCACAAAAAGACAAAAATAGTATGTACTCACTCATATATGGATTTTAGACATACAGCAAAGGAGTGCCAGCATACAATCTATACTGCCAGATAAGCTAGGAAACAAGGAGGACCCTAAGAGAGACCAGGAGAAGGGGAAAGGGACAAGAACTCATGAACTAATTGGGAGCATGGGGGGAGGGGAGAGTTAGAAGAAAGAGAAGGGGAGAGGAAGACAGGAAGAGAGCAGGAAGATTGACTCAGGGGAAGAATAGAGGAGAGCAAGAAAAGAGATACCATAATAGAGGGAGCCATTATAGGTTTAAAGAGACATCTGGTACTAGGGAAATGTCCAGAGATCTACATGGTTGACCCCAACTAACAATCTAAGCGATAGTGGAGAGGCTACCTTAAATGCCCTTCTCTGATAATAAGATTGATGACTACCTTATATGCCATCCTAGAGTCTTCATCTAGTAGCTGATGGAAACAGAAGCAAACACCCACAGCTAAACACCGAGTTGAACTCTGGAATCCAGTTGCAGAGAGGGAGGAGTGATGAGCAAAGGGGTCAAGACCAGGCTGGAAAAACCCACAGAAACAGAAACAGCTGAGCTGAACAAGGGGTTGCTCATGGACCCTAGACTGATAGCTGGGAAACCAGTATAGGACTGATCCAGACCCCCTGAATGAGGATGTCATTTTGGAGGTCTGGTTAATCTATGTGACCTCTGGTCGTGGATCAGTATTTGGTACATGAATGGAATTTGGGAACCCATTCCACATAGAGGGATACTCTGTCAGCCTACATACACAGGGAGGGTCTAGACCTTGCTCCAAATGATATGACAGACTTTGAAGATCCCCCATGGAAGGCCTCACCCCCCTGGGGAGCAGGAAGGGTATGGGATAGGGGGCTGGTGGGGGGCAGGGGAGGAGGGGAGAGAGAGGGAACTGGGATTGCCATGTAAAAAAGGCTTATTTCTAATTTAAATTTTTAAAAAAGGGGGAAAACATGCAGGCAAACCCTCATCCACAAATTTTTAAGGGTTAAAAAAATTCCATAAACACTATTGGACATAGAAAAGGTTCTCTTGGCTATGTTCACTTATAAAAAGAGGCAGAAAAGAACTGTGTATCTGCTTTTAAAAACTAAAACCGATGCATATAAAAATATCAAAACATTTTCTCCAAGCCTTGCCAACAAAAAGACATGGAAACCAAGTAGGAACAAGAATTGTGACAGATTGTTGAGGCCAAGGACAGTTGTATAGATGCTAGATTCCTACTCATCACTTATATGTAAACTTTTTAAACTATAGCAGAAGTTTTGAATTTGTAGGTTAACCTATGTGTGGGGACTGTTTGGCTGATGCTAAGGCTTACAGCACGGGCCTACATGCTCACAGTTTTGTTCCCGGACTGCATATTATTGGGAGACAAGGGTTCCTTTAGATGGTAGGACTCAAGAGAAAATTGGAGCCTTTCCCTGGCCATAGGCTCAAATATCTGAAACCGTGAGTTGCAGTAAACCTTTCTTACTTCTAACTTGATCTTCCTGGGTATTTTGTCAGTGTTGGGAAGGTAACTGATAGTTGGTTGTTTTCTTCACCCAGAACAATAGACATATATGTATTAAATCCATGTTTAGTATTCATCTCCTGCCAAGTTCCAAATAAAGAAAGCAGGGAAATTGTGAGTTCAAGACCAACCTCGGCTATAGAGCAAGTTTCTGTCTCAAAAAAAAAAAAAGACAAAAATAAAACTTCATATGCATAGAGACAAGATAAGGAGGGGCATTGCCTAACAACAGAGAAGAATGTCAAGGCCTGAGGGCAATTCAGAGAAGAAACCTATGTCAGTGATGGCAGCCACACCCACCAAATAACCCTGGAGTTGAATGTAAGACATGCAAGCCTGCTGATCCCTTCATATGGAAGGGAGGTCGGTCCCTGAGCCCCTGATTCTTGTCAATGAGACTCTCATAATGGACTGAGATGCAGCGGGTTATGGCTGTAGACTCACAAGGGAGGAGTCAGACAGTAAAGTGGCCATTGGCACAAATGTTTCCAGGCAGAAGTAAAAGGCGAGTGTGAGCCTTGGCGGAATAAAGTTCCCTGGTAGTTCTTGCTCAAATGTCATCTTCCTTGTGAGGCCTCTGAACTTCCTTTTAGGCTGCAATTGACTCTTTCCTTCCACACTTGAGTTGCACCTTCCCCCACTGACCTGCTCGTATCCACCCCATTTTTCTAGTCACTAGCTAGCCACATACAGACATCCTATGCAGTTCTTACTGCAATCATTGCTGACCATCTGTGCACCACTACAATGTCAGTTACTCACTCTAGAGGACAAGGGCACATATCAGTTGTTACCCCCTGGTGGAGCCCGGGTGCAAAATACAGGGATTCCTGCAGAACGACCCCTCGAGACACACCTAACCAGTAAATGAGGAACAACACGTTCAGAGTCATGTTGAGCCTGGGGTTAAAATGAGCTGATTGGGGAGGACTGGGACCGGCATTAAGGCTAAATACCATGAACAAAAATACTCTAGATACTAAAAGAAAAATAGAAAACAAACTTTTTAAGCAAATTTTTATTTATATCAAAATACAAAACATTTCTGAAGCAGAGTAATGTTACATGAGGAGCAATTAAATACTAAACGTTTGTAATCAGCTTAGCTTGCAATATCCCCAAGGGTGCCTTCACTGGCTACACATCTGGTTATGAGATGTGCCTCCTTTCTCTCTCTTTTCCTGTGTTTGCTTATGTACTGATGTTTGTTTGCAGAGATGAACATGCAGTGTTATTGGTGATGAGTTGATTAGTTTCAGCAAGCCTGAAAGTACCAGCAGGTGAATGAAGCCTGGAAGAGCAGTCCAGGCCAAGGCAGACTGCACATCTCCTCCCGAAGGAATCTGGGTGGGTGCTCAGCTTTTACACTGACAAGCCTGAGGCCAACAGTCACTGTCCTCAGCAGCCAGGGCAGGCATTATTGATTGGGACCACGGAGCAGGTTCAGCTATGGGTCACCCACAGTGAGGCCTTCTCAATGGGCTAAGGAGCCCACCCAGGCCAAGGGACAGGAGATGCAGAGATCCCTGGAGAAACCTTTGTCCCCAAGAAACTAGGCAAGGGCTGGAGAGAAAAAAAGTTTCCTCTCAGCCTTAGGCGGTTAGGATTTGGTAGTTGAGGTGCCTGCCCCATCGACAGGCCCTTCACAGATACTTAGTTTGGAGATTTTGAGGGGGGAAAGCACCTGTTGAGAGTGTAGCTGTTTCTGATACACCTCCACTACTAACCTAGAAGAAAGGGGAAATGGGAAACAGGAAGGAGCATGCCCCTCACTCCCATGGCCACCCCACACCCAGGCCTACCTGGGTCTCTCTTCCAACCTTCCGGTAGTGCATTCACTTTGGCACTATGCACTGGTGAGTTCATGCACACATGCATGCACCCACACACACATGCACGCACATGCATGCCACACACAACAACACCTGGTTTCCCTCAGTATCTGCTCAGGCAGAAGATGGGCACCCCACTTCCAACATCATCTTCTGCTCCCAAGAGTCCCTTTTGGCCCACAGGTCTCCAGGAGCCAGCCCCAGGCTTGACACACACTGGCATTCTCAGGCTTTTGAGAAGAGTGATAAAGCAGGGGGCTCCCCAGAGACAGAACATACAGAGTGTAGAATATGTCATAAGGCTTTGGTACAGCACCAATTTAATGTTCTTAGAGTTTGATTTTTTTAAGTTATCTTTTAGAAGAAAAAAAAAGCTTACTGAAAAAATAGTGTTTTTATTTACTTTTCAGTTACATACCTGAAGTTCAAAAAGTATGCCTCTAGTTGCCATCCAAATTCACTCAAAGGTGTTCTATGCGCAGCTGTACAATGTGTGGGTTAACTTTAATTTGGAACCAAAGTCAGCTGCCTATAACTGACTTTAACCAATCCATACACACAGACAGAGAAAGAGGGAAAAGGATGGAGGAAGAGGAGGGGAAAAGTGAGGAGAGAGAAAGAGAACACAAAACTACCCCTAAGTCTCCCACCCCCATGCCCCTAAGGAACAACATCTAATAGAGACAAAATACAGCAAGATCTAAGGAACCAGTGGGACGAAGGTGACTGATTCCGTCCAGCTGGCCTCTTCAGGAGCAGCACCATGAAGCACCCTAGCATAGTGATGTAATACTCAACATTCAAGAAACGGAAATGAGGTCTGAGTGGTCTCCACAGGAAGACCAGGCATGGATGGGGAGAGCCCCAAAGAAAGTCAAAGGAAGAATAAAGGTTTGAAATGAGAGCAAGGAATCTCATGACAAAACTGATAGTCATGTCCAGATGTGTTAAAACTAACAGCCAAGAGGTTGCCAGGTGCAAGAGGTGTGCAGCCTGTGAGGGACCCTGGCAGGGAGTTCCAGGACCCCTTCAACTCCCCATTTCTATGTCTGCAGACAATGGGGTAACAGGAGGAAAGGAATCCATATAAAAACTGTCTTTGGGTGAGTGAAGGAAGAAATATGTCCAAGGTGATATAGTCCCTCCTCATGAAAGAGAAAAAGGTGGTGATAAAGGGGGCACCAGAGTTGCTGACCAAAGCAGGATACCATCTGCTCAGTCAGGATGACGTAGGGGCAGGTACTTGGGGAAGTGTGCCCCATCCCTGCCTTCATTTTCCAGCCCCACAAATGGCAGTTAAGAAATGAAATCTGAATGGATCTTTAAGACTCTGACGGTGGTCATCGGGACTCGGTGACAGAGCATTGGTCCACCACGCCCTCTGTGACACCTCAGCAGCAAGATCACTCCACAGAGCAACTCCTTCCAGGCCTCGAAGGCGGCACTAGTCACTTCCTCAACAACAGGACAAAAACCCCTACTCCAACATCATAATCCACTCCTCACCACAGGAGGGGTGCTGTTCCTGTCCTCCAACTCATACTTTCATATTGCCCAAGATAGTTCCACTAGAGCAGCTTAGCACAAGATGAGACCCAGGCAAAAGCTGAGGAGTGGAGGATGTGACCCTTTGTCCCAGGCTCCTGGTTGAGGACAGTGGAGAAAGGACAGGGCTATAGCAACCCTTGGGAGAGCAAATCTCAGATCTGTCTCCACATTCATTCCATAGGACAGAGGTAGCCAAACTCAATCTCTTTAGACTGTCCCTATCTCCTACCAATAGGGAAGAACACCACAGTTCAACAACCTTCCCATGACCTAGGGACCAAGGTGAATCTCAAGTATACGAAAGAGTTAAGGGTCCTGGCAGGCAGCAGCTTTATCAGAGCACCCCTCCCACTAACTGAGAGATTCTAAGATAACTCTTTTTTTCCAAATATCATCAGACCCTGACCTTCTTTGCTCTGTGTTCCCTTGTGGAAAGCTGGCTCTTCTGAGGATTAGGTGACTAATGTTGAGTAACCAGTCCTTTCTCCTCCAATGCTCACCTTTCTTACTGAGGTCTGGGTCATAGAAAGGGCAAAGGCAACATATTCCCCAAGCCCTTAAACTTCAGGGCAAAGAACAAGTCCATCTTTCCATTTCCACAGAAGGGTCAGTTGGACATCATGAAATAGGATGGGCGAATTCAAGCATCTTGATGCTGCTGAGGTTTCTAATGACCAAGCCTTTGGATCAATGTGGAAAGAGTAAAGCATTAGAGCAAACCTGGGCTTCATGGAGTATGAGCCTTGAGATGCTAAAATGACTAACTCTGCTGGCCTCTTATGATCAGCAGTGAGATAGAGTCTACATACAAAGAGAAGAGGTGGGCTCTAAGAACCAAAAATTTGTAATGTAAACCCCTCTTTGGTAAATGAGGAGGGGACTCCAGCTAAGAAGGGACAAAGAATTTGCTGTTCCTCCTCTTGCTCAATCTCTCAGAAAATGTACAAGAAACACCTAGCCATATCCTCCTTTGACCTCCTAGAGAGGCTGCAGGTAGGACCAGACACACTTCCAGTTAGACCCAGTGCTGGAGCCCATCCAGTATTATATGGACAGAGCCCATTTTCCCACAATATCCTGGAAAATTTGAGTACTTTGAGCAAGGGAATTTTAAGGTTTCCATAGGGGTCAGGAGGTAGACTCAAGCTCCACTCCACCCTACTCTGCCCATCACCCCTAACCCGCAAAAGGCCCTCCCCATGGTTAAGCTTCTGGGGTAGGATCTCTTGACTAGCATCATGTTCTGCTTGGGAAGAGGAGGTACTTTTGCCTTTTCTTGACTGAGAAGCAGGAAAACTAGACTGCAGCATGAGTCTCTCCTGGCTTCTGAAATGGTCTCAAGCATAAATCGCTCTGATCGCTTGGCACATAAGAAAGAGCTAGCACCAGGAGATACCAGCTAAGGCTGAAGGCGCATAGCGCTTACCGCATATGTGAGATCTTGAATTCTCAAAGAGGTATTCCTCAGAGTACACAAATTCCTGCCCAAACACAAAAGAACTCCTCCCACCCACACCACCTTCTTTCAATACATTATTTAGTTTCAGAGTCTGGGACTGAGCAGGAGGAAGATGGCAGTGGGACTCATCCTTCAAGTTCTGCCCAGCATCAGTCTCTCATTCCTAATCTTCCATTCAGTGTTCCAGGACTAGACCACCTGCCCCATTCCCGGCAACAATTTATTTTCCAATTAAAAAATAAATGAAAAAGCACAGATGCTATATTTATACTAGATATCACATTCACACTGGTTCCAAGAATCTGCAGCAATAATTACCAGGGTGTATCTTCTCCAAGACTGAGCCCACACAGTCAGCCTCAAAAATCTCACCCCCACCTTCTACAGGGGACTGCATGAGCCCAGGCACTACAAACCATGACAAGTGTTACTCTATGACCCAGACAACCTGACCTCCCTCTGTCCAAGATGCTGAGCGAGAATTTTTCCAAGGAACTGAGTACCAATCCTTAGCCACAGGGCATGGATTCATGCTTAGCTCTCCACCATCCTTTCTATTCTGAGCACCTCTACCAAACAGCATGAGTTAGGGCACCCTCCCGACAAGAGACATACCAGAAGCTCTCCATTGTCAGCTCTCTTGCTCTTCCTGCAAATGACGTGAATTTTTTTCATATATACACATTTCTATTGGAAAGACTCAAGCAGCTTCAAACAGATAGCGTGTCTCAGGAAGGATGGAGACGTAGGCGGCATCAAGGCATGAGCTAGCACCCCAGACCACCTGGGGTAGGTGATACTGCTCAAAGTGTCTCTAAGCACAAGTACAAAAATAAAGCAAACTATGACTTCATATAGATATATAGATATATAGGTATGCTAGATAGATAGCTTTATATAAGTTTTCTTTATATTTATATATGTGTGCAGAGGGCACGAGCCTCCACTCCTGCCCGGCTTACGTCTCTTCCCCCACCCACTCCTCCCACTCCCCATGTGGACAACTTACCTGAAGCTCCCACTGTTAGTCACCACTATTGCATCTGACTCTTGCCCTCCCCCCAGTGAGTTTCATTTCACCTTAAAATAGAACGAGTTATATATATATATTTATATAATTTTACATACAATCTCCATAAAAAATACACTCAAAATGGTGTATTACGAGTATGACCCTCCTACCAAAACAGAAATTTGTCTAGCAAAGAAAGAGTCAGCCATAACTAGGCCTGAGGCTACCCAGGCAAAGCGGTGTCTCTACAGTTCCCTCATACCCACACTTACATCAAATATACACACAAATCACACACACACACACACACACACACACACACACACACACACACACTGCACACACACAGATACCATATATACACCACACGCATCCCACATACTCACACCCATCTAACACACTTCCTTCTGAATACTGGAATAAACAGTTGGCCAGGGCTTCATGACCAGGCAGATAACCTGACACCTGATGAGGAACTGGTGCCGTCCATCCATGTCTCTGACCCAGCCAGGGCAATGTCTACCTGTGACAGACTATTTAATTATTCTCAGTAGGCAATATAACTATTCAGTGATAGAACGAGTTTCCCTTCCAAGGTTTGCAGGGTGACTGTGAGGATGCTTATTCTCCTCCACCACATAAAATAAATTCCTAAGCCAAAAAGAAGCCAAATGTCCCCCAAGTCCTCACCTCCCATATGAGGACCATTAGGCATTTCCCTAACCATCGTTTATCTGAAAATCCCAAGTCACCCCAAAACATGCTTACAGTATTTTAAGGTTGAAAATGAAAATTCCCTCCCCCAGTCCAAGCCCTACATCTGCCCTAGTTCTCTCCCCAACCCAACCACCTCCATATTGTAGACCATGCACAAGCCAGAGATCCTGGAGACACACACAAGTGGGAAGAAGAAGGAAATAGAGCCTGAATGGTGTGGATGCGGGTGGAGGGAGAGCTTGCTCTACTTCCTAAAGCAGATCCAGGAAATTCAATGTCAGTGGGAGATGGGATTGATGGGACACATTTCTTCAGAATCCAGAAGAACAAGTACCCTCACTTCTGTTGCCGTATTGTTAAGTTGGGTGGGAAAGGTACAGTCAAGGCCCTGGCTGCAAGCTGAGTTTCATATGCTGCTTTGGTTGAATTCCTTAACCAGGGGTCCAAAGCTGATCACTGTTCACCAGCACTCTTCAGAGTCCCTAACTGCTGCAACCAACCCACTGTAGAAGAGAATGTCCAAGTGATTCAAAGGCTGGCTGCTGATCTACCCAACTATTTAACAGTTAGGATACCCCAACTCTCCCCTCCTAAGGCACGGCCAGCCACTAAAAAGGATTGCACTAATGCATTCTTTTTAATCTACACAGATATCCCTACGATCTGGGAGTGTCTTTGGATCAGACTCAATCGATTAGGGATTTTTATTGAGGTCATGAAAAGAAATTCTACCCTCTTGGCAATCCAAGACACCAAACATCTGGTGCAGACAGTGTGTTTGTTCCCGAAAGGTTTATTTGGAAGTAAAGACATGGGCCCAGATATTAGGCTCTGGACCTGTGCTGATTCAGCCTCAAAAGGTGCAATGGTTACAAGCCAGCCCCACACAAATACCAACTTGCATGAATTGGTGAGAGTTACTAGAGTCCAACCAGAGCTTTGATACTCAGTTTATTGACTTCTCTTAAAGAGATCTTCAGTTATTCCTCTTGATCCAAGAGGAAGATAGATACAGTAAGGAGTACAGAATAAATAGTCTCCGATTTCAGGTGAAACTATTTCACTCTCTTAGCTACAGTGTGATAAATTTAACCTATCAAACAAAGAGAAATTGAGGACACAATCTCTAGACATCAGGCCACTGTGTAACCTCCAGGATGAAAACATTCTCTACAGCTCAAGCAACACTGACAAGTCCGGAGGCCTGGCCTCCTGTGCACCATCAGCACCAGTGTCCGATGGGCCTTTTCAGACACAGATGAGGAGCACAGAGTGCCAAAGCTGACAGGACAATGAGCACTAAGCTCCTGAGAACCTTCCCTCTCTACTGGAAAGCAGTTACTGAGCATTTCAAGGTCAGTCTCCCAGGTTTCACCTGAGAAGCTCCACAAACAGAAAAAAAAAAACTGTATTCAGCACTTGGAGTTAGAAAGTCAGTTCTACAAACAGAAAAGCCCTACCTTAAGCAAGATTTCTTCCAAGATCCAGGCTTGGTCTGCTTACCAGGCCCTGCCCACAATCTGTTCACAATGACTACATCCTTCCCACACTAAGGGCACCCATTCCTTGTGGCCCTCCCTGGCAGTCACTCATTTCCTTGTGATGATCCCACTCCAACCGTCTGCACTGTCGCCTGGGCTGGTAGAGTGGCCACAAAGAAAACTAGAGGCTTGGTGCCTTATTTGCATTTTCACCTCGTCATCCCAGGATTCCTGTACTCTCTACAATTAATTTAATGCTCTGTCTTTCTCCGTCTCACATACCTGGTCACAATCAAGTCTTCTCTCCGTGGTCCAACCCTCTAACTTCTCTTCCTGAACCACACCTGCCCAATCAACTACTATATTCAATGCAGAATGGCTACTAAGGGTCTTCCAGAGGCTCTTCCCAAGAGACAAAGGGAATCAGCAAGACCTTGAGCCTCCATTGTCTCTGAGCATGCACAAAGGGTAGGATCAAGCCAATGAGCACTAGTAAAAATGCTCAGGATCCCAGAGAAAGCAGCAGTGATACCTCCCTACACCACCCCTCCATCACTTCCCTTGACTTTATTCTCCTACCCCCAAGTCCCTGCAGTGCCCCCCCAAAGCACTTTTACATGCAAGCAAAGCTAGCCCAAGCCATTAGCTTTTCAATTCCTAGAGTTCTCTACATACTAATGAAATACCTACAATTCTCCCAGCCTACCCCAAGACTTCTAAAGGATTCTGCTATCAAAATCAGAAGAAATGGCTCAAGCTACACATACCTCAGCCTCAAATACAGATCCTGGGAAGCAACTAAGATGCCCTAATGTTCTGGGATTCCTCCCCTGAAGCTAGTGTGTGCCAGTCTCACCAGGAGGGAGAAAGAAAGGAATCCCACATCTCAACCTTACTCAGTTTTCTCTGTATAAAAAGGGCAGAAGAATAAACAATTAAAATCTGCACAACCTCAAATAGTTTAGATCACTGTGCAAAAATCCAAGAGGGAATGCACTGGGAAAATATCAGTAGTAATTGTCCTCATCCTTCTGAACTCTCCCCCAAACGTAAGCCAAGCCTGTGGAGAGTGCAAATCTGCTCCTGCTGTGTGATACAGCACCCTTTCCACTGAGAAAGAATTTCTGAAGACCTCTTCTCTCCTGTTCTAGTCCCTCTAAGAAAAGTGGGGAGAAGATAGGCTGGCCATTAGGCAGAGTCCAGCATCAGATGCCAGAACAATGGCCACCAATGCCAATGACCATGGATGCACAGAGTTCCACTCAGAGCCTTGAAGCAGAGCTCTGTGTGGACAGCCACAGAATAAAGAAGCAAGATTCACTTCTTATTTTTCATCTTCTTTCCCCCCAAATTAGAGTCTTTCTGGCCCTTTGGGGACCAGGTTGACTCTCTTTCTTGATTGTGGATTAAACACTGAGCATTTCCAAGTCAAGATGCAGAAGGAAAAGATAGAAAAAATACTGAGTACAGGAATAGGTTTTGAACTGTGTTACTTCTGCAAGGCTACCGGATGCAAGGGGAGGACTTGGAAGACATCACCTCCCACGGCAAGGAGGGTGAAAGCCCTAGGAAGCTCATAGTGGTCACTGCCAAGTTCAAAGGCAGAGTGTAAAGGTCATTGGTCCCTAGATGTGGATACACCCCAACATCACACATTTCTAGCCAGACTGTCAAACACATGCCCAGGGTGTGCCTATGTCACCCTGATCATCGCACTGACCACGGGGGCGGTATCCTGCCAGTTTGCTTTGCAGCCACCAAAGGAAGAGATGAAAGTTTCCTAAAGTGCAGAAATGCTGCTGGCCTCCGAGAAAAGTCACAAGAAGGAAGACCTCTTAGGAGGGGAATGCGTCAGAGACCACTTTGGAATGGATAGACCCTGTCCCCCTTCTGAGTCCAGGGGACACAATAGCACAGCTGTGACCCAGTGGCCAGTCAGAAGCAGTTTCCACCTCTTGGTCAGATAGGCAGAGGAAAGGGACACTGCCAAAGACAAGAAGAAGAAGAAGTCAGCACCTTTGTTAACACAGCCTGCAAGCCTAGCCGTGGACTCAGACAGCTCAGCCCACAAGGTTTGGCTCTTGGCCCTACAACATCCGAAAGCAGCAGTCTTCCACCTCAACTTCTCCTCCATTCTGACCTCCAGGTCCAGACAGTATCAGGGCCAGAATTCCCAGGAGGGTCCTCAGAACAGTTAGCCAAATTCAGCACAAGGTCTAACCAGCGCCAACAACATACTTTTACACTCCATGGCTCAGGAATTACGTGCTACGAGAGAGCAGAGCAACGACCACACACTAGGCCACTGTGAGCCTCCAAACACTACCCCAGTATTTCAGGTAGATTTGTCCCCAGTAACCCCAGGAGACACTGGAGTGAGCAGCCCATTGTGGCAGAGTGGCAGAAGCAATGGCCCACTTCTGAAAGAGGGCGTGGGTCTTCGAACTCAACTCTTCTGCTTTGTTGGAGATGAGGTCCAGAGGTCAAGTGGTCTCCAACACCTCTGAGAATCACATGAGTTAGATGGTCCGAGGCACACGGCCTAATCTCAGAGCAAAAGAACTGCCCTCCGCCCCTCTTTCCCCTACGTCCAGAAGAAAGCTATGGTAGTGTGGCTTGTGTGAAGCCTCAGTGTGGAGCCCATTCCTAGCCCACTGGGAGAGAGAAGGAAGCACCAAGGCCTGGCTGCAGAGATGCAGCCCATCCCCCAAGATGGAAGCGCTGAAAGAAAGTCAGTTTCCTAGCCCCCGCGACCTCATCAAAGTCACTAGGCCGAATGACTGGTAGCTTCTGTGGGACCAGCAGAAGCCTTCCAGTAGACATGGCTAATGCCTGAGGAGGTCACTGGAGAGAGATGGACACAGCAGCACCAAGAAGGAACACTTCCGGGAAGCTGGCAGTTACCACTACTTTAGGCAAAGCCAGGGACGGCGGGGAGGGGAGAAGGTAGGGAGAGGGTGAGCCCACTCTCCCCACTCCCCACTCTCAACACTTGAGCAACACCAGGACCTTTTCAGGAAAGAGAGAAGTATCTGAATTGACAAATGGCATCAGGAAAACGTCTGAGTACTAACAGTTTGAACCAGGACGGGCTTTGTACAGAGAAAGGATAAGGGCCCTGGGGCCCACCCACCACTCCTTCCACCATCGTTCATTCCTGCAGCTAAGCCAGCTCCACACTGGAGCAGTGAGAAAAGAGCACCCCAGAACTCAACAGGTACCCTCACTTCTTCATCTCACGCACTGGAGACTGGGTCCAGGAGGTGGTGAAGGACCCCAGGGCAAAGCAGAGTTGGCAGACAGCACACAGAGAGTATGCCAAGGAGCCACAGGCAGCTCCCACAAATGGCAATTAATCAATCTGGAGAATTAGCAGACACAAAAGGAAAGGAGGAGCCAATCGGCCGCTGGGGAGCAGCGCTCTGCATTCAGAGCCAAGATGGGTATAAATAGAGCTGTGGCAGCTTGGGGCTCAGCACAGGTGGCTGCAGAACAGGAGGGCTTTTGGCTACAGGGTTCCTAGCCCCGGCTGGAACAGAAAAGACCGAGGCGTGACCACATGTACCAGGGGTTGTATACCAGGCCTGCCTGTCAGCCCCACTGCTAAACAACCACTGCTTCTAAGGTGAGCCTCAAACTGCAGAAGAAAGGAAGGTGCCAGTCTGGCCTTGAGCCTGTCCATGCTTTCCTCACCTAACAAGTAGGCAGTAAAGGCTTGGGTTTAGTTCAGGGGTAATTTGTAGCTCACCCCCCGCCCCAAGCAGGGGGCTACAAATCATGGCAGGGCCCTATTTCTGCTCTAGGTGGGAGAGGCTAGTAAGAACAGTGGTGAATTCAGCTGTGAGGCCTGAATCCGGTTTCAGCTGGAATGATCTCCCAAGACAGGCATGAGGGCACCCACCAGCTCATAGCCCGCCCTGCTCACCAAGCCCAGCTGTTCAGGACCGTCCTCAGTCCTTCAGCCACCACAGGGAGAAACAGCACTTTGCTTCAATGTACATATATATACACATAGAGAAACCCACCAACTACACACAAGTGTATTTGTATCTATATCTATATATATGTGGAGTTTGGAGGACAGGATGTAATTCTATCCCCCTCCCGGGACTTGGAAAACTGAAACATATGCAGAGTAGTAAAAGCCATTGCTTTTCTCTTCTTCACTTCCTAAGACATCTGAAGAGGTGAGAAGAATCTAGTAAAGTGGGAGAGGTGGTGTCGAGACAGATGTTTCCTGTCTTCACATACTCCCAACTCTGAGCCACAGGTAAGAGCTCTTCCCCCAGTCCTGTGGGCAAGGCTAGCCAGCTAGATTGTGAGGGAGAGGCTCACTGGCAGGAGGGGACACACGAGGACAAGGGCGTGAGCCAACCCATGATGGGCAGAGGAGGACAAGACCCTGTACAGCGGTCCCTCTCTGCCCCCTTAGCCTAGCACCCCACCCTGGGGACACTTAGAGTGACGTCAAGTCATAGCAGAGTAGCGTGGCCTGGGTCATCATGATCCACGCTGTTGAGGATGGCCGTCTGGTCTTCCGGTAGCTGGCGGTGGCACAAGTCCGAAAGTCGGGCAAAGGGATCAGGACGAGGGTGTCTCTTCTTCTTGCGGAGGCAGACAGCTTCGTCGGGCCACAGAACCTGAGAGTTGGGAAGCTGCTGAGCCTGGGAGGCAGAACCGTCTACGGAGAAGGAGACAGACACACAAAAGAAGAGGAGTGAGAAGGTAGAACAGAGCCTCAGATACTCCATGCATCTCCCAGGGTTGAAGTCCAAGTTGCCACTGAAACCAAGGGAGCGCCTGTGTGTATGGCTCTGAGGCCAAACCGCTGCAGAGAACCTCCTCTTTCCCCACTGGAGCAACCAGCAACCCAGTCTTGAGTCAACAAAGTAAAGTAGGTATATTTTCCCTTCTACGAATTCATGGATCTCGGTGATCAAGCAGTTTCAACAATCAGTCTACAAATACCCTCTGCGCTGTGCCTCCTAGATGCCAGTTATCATTTTAGGAGGCAGGAAGCAGAGCTTCAAGTGTAACTTTCTCACCTACCCCAAACATGAGACTTCAATCATGAGTGACAGTCAGGCCTGCATGCCTCTTCCACTGCCAGGGCCATTCCTCTGCCTCATGGCCCCTCTGAGGATACAGTGGGAAGGTTTGGTTTCCCAGATTATACTTCGGCATGAAGGTAGGGAGGAAGACACAAACTGTAAAGATTTGAAAGATACAGAAACTGGATTCTTAGGTATTGCAAGTGCAGTAACAAAGAAGGATGTAATAGGAATGTGCCAACGGCCAGGGTCCCGCTTCTGTTAATATCTGCCTGGAATCTGGAACCAGGCATCTTCACCAGAGCTGAATGAAAATGGTACCATCAACAAGAAGAGCCAGTGCAGAAACCCAAAGAGCAGGAGTAAGTCAGTATAGTGACAAAAGTTTAAAATCTCCATACTTGGGAGACTGAGAAAATAGAATTAGGAGTTTGAGGCTACATAGTGGAACTCTGCCTTTTAAAAAGGAGGAGGAGGAATAGGGGAAGAAGGAAGGAAGGAAAGAAGGAAGGAAAGAGGAGGAGGAGGAGAAGGAGGAAGAGAAAGAGGAGGAAGAGGAGGAGAAAACACAGTATGGTCTAGAGAGAGAAAGATGACAGTATGTCAACAGAGTTTAAAATGTGCACTTGTTGCAAGGAAAGGCTTCTAGATGATTTGTGTGTGAGAAAGTGTGTGTGTTTGTGTATGTGTGATTATAAACATACTTGTTTAAAAAGATAGCTGTAAAATCTCTACAGCTCACTCTGGTGGACACAAGACGATTGAAAGTTCAAGCCCAGACATGGCTACTTTCAGGTCGGCCTGAACGGTACAGTGAGACCCTGTCTCAACATAATAACAAAATAATGTCTTTTCCACTACTTCAGTATTCCCATTCACAGACTGATGGGAAACCAGCCATACCCAAAGGCTAAATGATCAATGAGTGATCCATATCTCCCTAGGCAAGGTTCAGGGTGTGCCTCTATAGGGTACTATAAGAGTGCAGACAGAGGAGAGGGTAACTGCAAGGTATTGCACCAATTCAAAGAGGAGAAGACGAGACAGAAGTTTCCATTTTTGCAGTAAGGACAACCAAAGAAGGCCAGATATATTGCAACCCATAAACCTCACCAAAAGGATCAGGTGTGATTACCATGAGGGCAAAAGACTCCGGGAAGAAACTGGGCATGAATGAGGCAACACCACTTACACAACTGAAGAGAAGCGGGGAGAGGTGGTTTGGAAGAGGATAACCAAAAACAGTAAGAGTTATAAAACATTCAAGTCCAAGCTCAACAGCTAATTGGAAATACAAGATCTGAACTCAAAGAAGACACCTGGGCTAAAGACAGACACCCCAGAGCTATTAACACAGACCAAGCACGAGAGAGAACATGTACAGCTGATGTTGCTATTTTACAGTAATTAGATGAAATTTGTTTACTAAAATTTACAGTCGTGTACTACATAACAATATTTTGACCAAGGAAAGGTCATATATTCAATGGCAGTTCTACAGACTGTATTACATAGTGACTGTCCTGGTTAATACAAGCATAGTTTGTGATGTTCACGCAGTATCCAAATAATCTAATGGTGCATTTATCAGAATGTGTTCCTATCATTAATTGTCAAACGTGCACACACATAAAAGGAATATACTTGTATGTATTATGTATATGTTTAAATCGAATTAGTATAAATTCATCTTTGAATTCAATCCTGACCCACACCTCAAAAAAACCATTTTTGATGAGCATGGCAACACACACCTGTAATTCTAGCCATCAAAAGGTTGCAAGTAGACCAAGAGTTCAGGGCTAGCCTAGGTTACACAGCTAGTTTCAGGCCAGCCTGCACTACCTAGCCAGACCCAGTCTCAAGAAAAGATAATTTTCTTTTTCTCTACCTTTGTATTGCCATCAACAAACTGATAGGAAACTGGCCACATCCAAAGACTAAATCATCAATGAGTTCAGGGCTTTGGCCTCTGTGGAACACTTTTCCACACCTGGCTTATTAAAACAGTTACTCTACAGTAGTCATCAAAGATCTGCAAAGAAACTACTGAACATTCTTCCTTGACAGGCTGCCACAGCGTTTCCATGAACATTGATAGAAAGAGAGTAATCTGATAAACATCAACTGCTTTTCTAAATGAGCAAACAACTGCTTTTGGACTCTTTCATAAGCTACCCACCACTGCCGGATATGCATCATATGTATTTCAGAGAGATTTTGCTCTCTCTCCTTGGAAGAGGTTAGTCAATGTAAAGACTGGCCCATGCCACGTGACCCTAAGCTCTTTCACACCTGTCCTGTATTCAACTAGAGGACTTGAAATCGTGACGGAGAACCGTACAAGGAGACAGGGACAGCAAGGTCTGCTGCAGAATGGGAAAGAATAATATACTACTTACGTTGCCCAAAACCACGCTGAAACAATATGGTAGACTTTCTAAAGCTGTGAATACAGGAAATGTTCTACAGGTACACACACCCTCAGAGCAATGGCTCCCCAGGCGGGAGGAGATGAACTGGGAAGGGAAGGCCATCAGATGTCTTTCGTGTGCTTTTATACGAAAACCATTTGTGCATTATTGAAAACGAAAAGGAAACCGAGAACAAGAGAAGCTGGCTTCGCTTCTAGAGAACACCCGAGGTTGGGATCCTGGGCCCGCAATCCTCGTCCAATGGGAACAGCACGGTGGAAAGAGGGGTGGCGCTTCCCACCATTTACCGGATCGTTTCTTTGACTTCGAAGAGCCCTTGGATGACTTTTTGGGCTTCTTTATCCGTTGGTATCTCAGAGCCTCCAGCCTCTCAGGCACAGCAGCGTTCCCGGGTGCAGGTGGAAGTATTCTGCAAGGGACAATTAGAGAGGCACAGGTCAGCTCCCGGAAAGGAGCCTTGGAAGAGGGCTGGAAGAAAGCCAAAGGACTGCCCATAGAAGGGTGGAGCCCAGGGATGGAGGCCGGGGTGTCCACAATCACTCCTGGACACTTGCCTTCCTATTGCTCCTAGAAGGGAGAAAACCCGATAGAAAGCTTCCAGTAGCAGGGGGCCTATCTCAGGGGGAAACCAACCTGTGGAGCAATCGGAAGACCCTAGGAAAGGAGAGAGAGACTTTAATGTAAGCCCACCACACACCACTTAGGCTGGGATAAGCAAGTGCCAGAGAAGAGTCGGTTCCTAGAACTCACCATCATCAAGACCTTTAAGCAAAAAGTGCAGAGCGGATTAAAGCAGGAGGTGAGCCAATCCAGTCCCAGCAAAAGTAGCCAGCGAGGTGTGGCCTCTGCAGAACTCGCTTCACAGAGCCACTCCCTCCTTCTGCAAGATTCGTCTAGAACCTCACAGCTAACTGTTGTGACACACCAACATCTTCAGCGGGCATGTCTGCATGACACTGCAGACTAGGCTCAGACTTCCTCAGCCTCATAAGAAAACAGAAGATAGCAGAAGGAGATTATGACAGGGCCGAGGGTTCAACTCTTATGGCCTCACAAAGTCCTTGCTGTGAGTCACTGGTCTCCAGCGAGTTCTGTAGCTTAAGATTCAACCTAAACGTTGAGGTTGCTGAAAGAGGACACACCTACATATTGACCCTTCTTTGTCCACCCCAGTTATGGGATGGATCAAGTCAGCCATTTAACCAGAGCCTGGGCAGCCTAGTTCACAAAGCAAACCAAAGCAAACTGAAAAGAGAGCAGTGTGTGACACTGTGCCTATAGAGAGAGCTTTGCCAAGAGTTACAAAAGAAGAAAATGGAGAAGACATGTTATCTCAAAATAAGACAACTTAGAGCCTGAGGAACAAAGAGGGCAAGAGAAAGGCGGGCATGCTTTCTTCACACAAACTGACCAGGTAAGGTAGGGACATTCCAGGGTTATGGTAGACAAAGATGACTCTCTTGTCTCCAAGCACCACGTCTCCCTTCCCCATGTCCATGGCAGTGAGGTTTTAGCAAATCCTGATTAAAAAAAGAAACCCTCATAGTCCTGTGAGAGCCAAAGAAGTCCCACAAACTACCTGAGGTAGAGGGGGAAAGTGAGAGGGGGAAAAGAGAAAGGGATGAAAAAGACAGTGGCATTTCTCCAGCACGGAAGGTCTCTACACGCACTGGGAAGAAGAAACTTACAGACTTGTGGCAGGTAAGCCTCTGGTCTCTGGAAGTAACTGGCAGCGAAGGAACCTCCATCTTCCTTGATGGATGGATGCCATTTGCTCCAAAGTCTTTTAGCGCATTGAGCATCAAGAAACGCTCTCAAGTTCAAGTCAGAGGCAACTCCTTAACATTCCACAGTGCCGTCCCCCCTCCCCAGCACCATCGTACACCACACAGGTACCCAGGCCCCACAGAAAAGCAATCTAGTTCACGGGGTGAGCAAGTCCCTCCAGAGACCCAAGACATTAGTGTCCAATCCCTTTCCCTTCTCCCAACCCAGCTCTACCCAGAGATCGTCCCCCAAAGCTGCAGCTAGAAGGGATTTTGGAGGGAGCCTGCATCACCCCTTCTCAGCTTGGACAATGTTCTTTGTGTTGCCTGAAAGGAAAATCAAAGATATGAATCCCGCACCATTTGCTGTCTCTAGTGCAGATCCTGGCCAGCAGTTGGAAAGGCCACGTGAGGTGAGATACACGGTCAGAGGAGACAGGAAGGCACATCACTCCCCGGCACAACCTTTGACCACACAGTTACAGCACAGTTCTCTCTTTATCCTGTAGCCAAAAGGCGGAAACAGCATGGGAGCTGCCTTTCCCTGCTGTGAATGGTAGGTTGGGAAAAACAATTCACTAACACACGATGGGGAAACGGTAAAACCACTTTCCATACGTTCCACAGATAGCCATGAGTTCAAAAGCCAGTGCCAATCCAGTCAACCACAGAGAGCGCCCTCAGTGGTGGGTCAAGGCACAGGCTGTACAAGAAGCAGGTACAGAGTCCTCCTGAAAATTCCCAAGAATTCTTCCAGGTAGGTGAAATTTTCAGGGGGTGGATACCAATAGCACAAATAACACAGCATTACTATCATCATTTGTATTATTTAATATGTGCTTACCACTTACAATGCCTGTAATGAGTCTAAGAGGTGAAGACGGCATTAGCCACATTCTAATGGAGAAGCTCAATTTTAGAAGGTGGGGGGGGGGCAATTTAGCCAGATATAACCTGTGACCAGGCAGATTCGTCAGTATTAGACTAAACCGCTCTTTAAATTCTTTCCAGTAAAATTGGTACAGAGGCTATGATGTAACAGAGCTTCCATCCTCCCCACACCAGCTCTGCAGTACACCGACCACTGCCACCCTTTGCTTCAGTGTCGCAGACGGAATAAGAAAGACCAGGGACAGGGCAAACGGCACAAACTCCCAGACAACAATGACACACCGAGAAAGAAACCAATTCTCACTTGAGAAGCAGCCAAGCTCCAGCCCTTCCAGGATACCTGCTGCCTACCTGCTTGAGCGCCTGGATCAGGACTCAGGTGCGGCAACATAGCAGACCACGTCTCCTGGAGGCACCAGGATATACTTGCGTATTGCCAGAGGCAAAAATAAAAGCAAGTCTTTAGAAGGGCAGGTGGGAAGAAAGGGACAGACATAATGGGTCTGTTTTGAGTGAGTGATACAGAAAAGACATGAAATATTTCCTAGCATGCTTTAAGAACAGCCCCGAGAACCCTCTGGTATCAACCTGCCTCCAGTTTTTAGGAAGGATACCGTGTCCCGTGTCAATGCCAAGTCCACCTGGCACCACTCCAGCTTGGAAACCTGTGGCGTTGGTGTCTGAGATAAGAATCAGGATGACGAGCATGCCACTCTGTGATAAACCTGAACTTGACCTGTAGGTGAGGTGGTTACAACAGACTCCAACCCTGGTCACCCAAAGTGAGGCTCTGTTCTCCTTCTGGTCAACCTGGACTTTTCTCCACATATGGGAATGCTGCTCACTTCAATTCCTCTTCTCCCAGGAGATGACCCAGACATACTACTGAAAAAGGCCTCCAAGCCTACGACGAGCTTTTCTGGTCTCACATTTCATGTAAATCCCAGTTCTGTGACCCAGTGGTGTTCCTTGCAGCTAAGAATTTCCAAAAATTGCCAACATTTGCTTTAAAAATCCACCCTCATGCCACTCCACACAAAATTCCCATCCCACTCATTCAACCCAAGAGGTCCTATCTGCTTAGCACCCTGCTCCCCAGAGTAGCTGAGGAATGAGGTGGCAGACTTAAGGAAAACCTTAGGCCGGGAAAGTCAAAACGCAGCTGGCATTTCCTTGCTTTAGTGCCTGCCTAAGAGCTGGTCATTAAAACACACGTGGTAGCAGTTCTTTACACACCTGGGAGCTTCAGCTGAAGACCTGTCTCCGCTAGACTGGCCTGTAGGCATATATGTGGGGTGGGGGGCATTTTCTTGGTTGCTAAATGTGGAAAGGCGCAGTCCACTGTGGGTGGTACCATTCCTAGGCAGGTGGGCCTGGCCTTTATAAGACGGGTAGGTCACTGAACATAAGCCTGGGAGCAAGGCAGTAAGCAGTGGTCCTCTATGGTCTCTGCTTCAGTTCCTGACTCCAGGTTCCTCCCTTGAGCTTTGGCCCTGACTTCCCTGAATGACACACCTGTAAGTCAAATAAACCCTTTGCTCCCCAAAGTTGCTTTTGGTTATGGTGTTTGTCATCGGAACAGAAAAGTAAACTAGAACAACACAGTTCTCTACTACTCCCCCAGCCAGAAAGAAACAGCCTGGAGGTTTGCTCCCCTCACCATGGGTGAAAGGGTGGGGAAATCCACTCAAGTACATATGATAGCCAGGGAAAAGATGAAGGCATCCTCTATGGACCCCAGAGACATCTGGGAATCCACAAAGCCAGCATCCTGCTAGCCCAATCACAAAGTTATCCCTCTCTGGTGGGGTCGGGGTGCAGAGTCAGTGTTCTGCCTCAGGGCTCAGGAAACGCTTCTGTCCAAATGGGGACTCCTTCCTAGAATACACCTAAATAAAGGGGATCAGGTTAGGCTTTCCAGGCCCTTGCCTCACAGAGGGCACCATAGGTAGTGAGGGGAATAGAACTCACAGAGATGGACACTCTGAGTGTTACCAGCATCGGGGGGCACTGAGTAAGCGGCTGGGCCCCCAGAGACCCACCGAAGAATAGGTCCACATAGTGCAACTCCCCACACTGAGATGGGAGCTGGGAAGAGGATAAAGAGGGAAGAGAGAAGAAGAGGACAGGGTGGGGAGTAGTGACAGGAGTGAACAGGAGGAAAGGGCAGAAACAAAGCAAGGACAAATGCAGACAAGAAGCGCCACAACTTCTCCAAGCAAGACCGGGAGACACATGCAAAGGTGCAGCATGAAGACAGCATCTACAGAGGAGGCACCGCTTCCCCATGGCCCAGCAGCTCCTGTGCCCCAGGGAGTCTCTCAGCAAGCAGGAGAATGAGCAGAGGTTCCTGTTACCTAGCACCACAAAGGCCCTAACTCAGATGACATACAGGATTTCCTTCTTCCGGGCTGGGGATGCTAGTTAGCCAGGCCTGGGAGAGGAGCAATGGTCCCTCACCGCTGCCCCTGGATTCTGGGTTTGCCATAATGTGGCTGGGTTCTCTCAGATCTGACATGACGAAGACATTAGGGAAGACAGGGTCAGTGGAGTTGGGGGTTGGGGAGGTGGAGGGGCTGGAAATCACAGATGACAGTAGAGTTCATCTACTTTCCAGGAACTGACTAAGAGCTGTCCTAGGGCTACCAAACCTCAGGGGCAACAAAGGAGCTATGCCAGGGAACGTGGGAAGGACAGGCATGGGGCAGGGAGGCTAAGCAACCATTCTCCCTGCACTGTAGCATCCATCCAGGAGGTCCTGGAAGCAGGTGAGCTCCCAAGCACTATATGATCCTGCCAACAGGGGTGGTTACAGGCTGACAGTCAGTCAGCCTCCAACAATGCTAGGACCTCTTGAATACTGACTGACAGTTTTATAGCTGCAGGTCATAAAAAAAGATGTCCCTGCAGTCTCTTTCTGGGAGGCCTCTCTTATGACACAATGAGATTTATAGGCCTGAGTTACAAAGAGCCATGGCGTTGTGAGAGAAGGAAAGTGTGCAGCCTCTCCTCATGTTGAAGCCAAAGCACCAACACAAAAGGCCCCTCCCTCCCAGAGGAGCCTGGCGCAGGCGGCCAGGTCTAAAGCACGGGCAACAGAACATATGCAAAAACAAGCATCTCTTTAGGTTGCCTTGACAAGGAGGGAACGACACCTGGTCCCTTGCCTGGGAGCCCCTTCTTGTGAACCTGGAAGGTTGTTGGCGGAGCCAGCCACAGCAGGGGAGGGCACAGTCCTAATCTCTAGGGTTTTCAGCTTTTGCCAACTCAACTCCCTCCTCCCTGGCTTGAGTTCTCCCAAGGTCATTTCCCAAGAACAAGACCCAAGGGGGCCAGGAAGGCTACTCCATGGATGCTGAAAGCAATGTGACTCTACGGACAAGGTCACATTTCAGTCCCACAACAACCGTGAAAGGGCTACAGAATGCAAGGGACATGGGGAGTGGTTACACTTCCCACCTTCCAAAGACCCGGAAGCCACCTGACCCTGAGAACCCAGATGGATGTGGAAGAGGGACGGACCTCTACCATTAAGAGCCCCAGGAAAAGTGAGGGACCAGCAACCCCAGGAAAAGACCTGCGTTTAGCGGAGGAGTTGGCAGGGAGGACACTATCCCTGAGTCTGCTGGGGAAACTGAGCAGTGGGGTGGAGGGAATGAGAGGGACCTGGAACCCATTATGAACCCAAACAGGTTCCCCAAGGGAAGAGATGCAAAGCGATCGTGGAAATTCTGGGTCCTTTGAGGTTCATGCAGGGCCCTGCAGTTGCTGTGGAGGTCTGATGTGGGTGTTGGCAGCAGGATGGCAAGGGTCTGAGTGACAACAACTGCAGTCCATTCTAGAAAGGTGGGTGTGGGCTTGGAGTTTAAAAGCTACAGCTAGGCAGTGCTCCAGCATGGCCAGCTGGGCAGCTGGAGGAGCAGAGCAGTGCGTTGTGGGGAACCCAGAAGCCATGGGAACCCGGGAGCAGCAGCTGCCCGGGTGGGGCAATGAAGGGATGTGTTCTGGATCCCCTCTTACAGAAGCAATGGCCCTGCCGAAGCCCCATCCACCTGCCCGCCCCGCCCCGCCCCGCCGATGAACTCCCTTACCTATTGAGCTGAGGAGAGGCTTGTCTCGACAACACTGCCCAGATAGCTGAGATAATCAGAAACAAAGCAGTTACCAACACCGGCCAGATGAACCACCCACGCACACCCAGAGGGGAGGAGGGGCTACGGCGAGCAGAGACCCACAGGCCAGAGGAGGGGCAAAGAGCCAGAGAACCAAAGGCGTGATGGAACAGAGACGGAGAGCGGGCTATACAAGGCACAGACAGGGAGTAACGACAGCATCTCCTGCAGACAGAGGCAGGCGCCCTAGCTAGCCTCTCCGATCCCCACACAGCCTGCCCACCAGGAGCGCCCACCTCGGCGCTGAGGTAAGCTTGCAGTTTCCAGCCACCTGCGGCATGGTAGGAGGGGGAGGGCTGGGCTTCCTCCTCTCCAGCTACCTCCCACCCCTCCACCACCAGGACAGCCTCCTCTGGAACTCTGCTCCCTTCCACAGGCCATTACATCAAGAGGAGAGACCAAAGCACTGAGCCCAAGAGAAAGAGAGTGAGAGAGAGAAGGGAGAAAGGATGAGGGCCAGGCAAGGGAAGAAGGGAGGGTGGGCACGCAGAGGCATGGCAGGATCTCCAGAGCAAATTGGGTCAACCTCGAGGCAACGGAGAAGGAAAACAGGAAGACAGACTAACTTGAAAAGGAACGAAGGCTAGGAGGAAGGGAGGAGGTACAGACAGGCGTCCAGGCCGACTGGTACCTGGGATACCAGCTGCCACAGTACAGAGTGTGCTCTCTCAGATGAGCAGATCTCGGGAGCTCGTCTGTCTGTCTGACTCTCTGTAGCTTCCTGTGAGGGACACAGGCAGTCGGGGATATGGCTCCCCACACACAGGTCTGAGCTGGTTCTCAGCCTCCAGGGGGCATCTTCCTGGAGAGACTAAGGACAGCCTGGGGTTCAGCACTTCCTGGGCATGCTAAGGGTCACGGTATATGTGCACACGGGGTCCCAGAGCAGTGGTCCTGCTTGGTGCGGAGGGGCTATGGAAGAGGCAACCCAGACACAAAATCTGTAGGCAGCTGCAGAGAGCCACCACTCGCCAACACCGAGATCACAGGGTGTGGTCAGCCTCAGCCTCAAAGGCATCATTCACAGACATGGCTGCATGCTACGCTGTTCTCTTCCCCTTCCCCCCCCCCGCATTCCTGATACACGGAGAGCCTTCACCCAACTCTAGGCTGGGTGAGGCGACAAGTGACGCTCCTGGCAGGGTACCAGCAGGTAGGTCCGTCAGTCCCAGTGAAGACACTCTCTGCCCACGTGTGGCCAGAGCTCCTCTCCCAGGGGTGCTGCAGTATGTCCCAAACAAAGCCTGCCGGTGGGATGCTGGGGAGGTAGGGGGCAGAGTAAGGCACGGGGAGCTTGACCGGAAGTGGGTCAGAGACAGTGGCTTACACTCACCCTGAACTAGGTAAGGTTGTTGGGGGCTCTGGCCGGAGTGGCTCCTCCCCCATTCTCCGAGGGGAAGGTGTCTGTCCAAACACATCCAAGTTGTCCCCTGGCGCGGGAGGGGCGGGGCCCGGCGGAGGAGAAGGGTAGCCTGTGGCCAGAGTAGTGAAGCCCATGGTGGGCCTGTAGCTGGGGCTCCCGCTGCGACTGCTCTGTGAAGGAGATCCGGTGGATGGCGTGGACTTGCGAGAGAAGCTGACGGCGGCTGGCGGCTGGAGGGTGATCTCTGACATCTCAGTCTGCTGCAGCAGGCCTGGGCGAGGTCGGGCACGAGCCGCTAGCTCGGGGGAGCCGGTGCGGGAACTGAGGGGGCTTTGGGTCAGAGGTGAGAGCCGGGAGGGCTGTAGCACCACTTGATGTAAACTGGGCTCGGCTCGCCGGGCCTGCCGGGGACTGGGCCGGGGCCGGGGCTGGGGCTCGTACCACCGGGTGTCCAGGCCAAATGTGCTGGGGCCACCGTGCCCCCCGGGCTCGGTTGGCTCGGGGTAAGGCAACACCGGTATCCCCATACCTTGGCTGGTATGTCTTAGCTGCCCTTGGCTGACCAGAGGTTGCATAGGTCTGTCCTGCCACTTGGTGGTAGGGGGCGCCGGGATGGGGCCCCTGCCGGGCGATTTGCCTACCCAGCCCTTGGGCGCCTCCAGAGATAGCATGCCTGGATAGGCTGCAGGCACCTGGAGGGGGGCTGGGGGCAGTCCTCGGGGCAGGCAGGCCTTGGGCTGCAAACTCTCGGCCACATCACAGGGGTGCAGCTGATGGGGGAACATCATGGCTGGGGTCTCCAGTCCCCCGAAGGGAAATTCGGGCCGGCCCCAGGGCTCAGGGGAGCGCCCTCCCGTAGGTGTCTGAGTCAAGGGCAAAGTGCTGTTGGAAGCATTCTCTCCGTTTTCCTCGGGGATGGTGGGGTGGCCAAAAGGCCCCTCGGTGTGCAGGGGTGGGGATGACATGACCGAGCTCAAGGGACTGCCCACCTCTGGCATGTAGAAGGGCGGAGGCTCCACCTCCCCAGGGCTGCTGCTGCTCAGGTACCCATAATACTGGCCATGGTGGAAGGACCGAGGGGCAGGGGGCCTCGCTTGGCCAGTAGCCTGGAGTCGTCCTCCCAGCCCACTGGGGCCCTCGAGTGCACGCGGCTGGAACCGAGGGCTGTATGCTGGTGGTGGCAGGTAAGAGCCCTGGCTGGAAGACAGAGGGGTCAGCTGAGGCTTCAGAGCCGCCACAGACGTGGGCACCAGTGTGTCTTCATTCTCCTCGTCTGACTGCCGGAACTCAGGGTACATGTCCGTCTCCTCAGCGAAGGGGAAGCCCTCAATTCGCCGGCCCTTCACTGAGGGCTCCATCTCGGAGGGGCCCATGACAAAGCGGCCATCGGGGCCTCGGCTGATGAGCTCGATGGGTGTGGTGGCCTCAGCCTCAGCCTTGGCCACGCTATATTTCCTGCTGCTGATAGCTCTCTTGGTCTTCTTGTACAGGGACAGCTCTTTTTCCCTTGTAGGGCTCAGCATCCTCTTGGCGGCAGGCTGGCCCTGGTCGTCAGAGGACTCGGATGGGGCTCGGAGTGTGCGGATGCTCTCGGGACTCACCTTGCCAGAGGACAAGCTGTAAGCGACCGGAGCAGAAGGTGAGAAGGGGCGCTATACACAAGTCTACAGCTTCTTTCCATTGTCTTAACAGTGACTCCAAAGGAAACACACACGGGTCCGGCTGAGTATTTTGGTCAGAAACTCTGGCCAACTCTCTCAATTGTCTAGACACGTATTATCCATTTTTGGAATGAACACCCACATTGCTACTTTTCTTCTGGCCAGACCCTAAATTTGGCACACCCTGCCTATGCACAACTCCAATTTTACTCCCTAGTTGTTCAAGAAATGCAAGCTAATATTAACACTGACTCTAGCAAAGCAAAGGACAAAAAATAAAATTAAAAATAAAAATAAAAACTGCAAGGCTAAATAAATAAGTTACTAGCTTGGACCATCTATACTACACTCCCTCAATCCATGTGGACAACCTAAAATTGACGTGGCCAACCAAAACTAAGAGTTCACCTACGTTCAGCCTCCCCCTTTACCTACAGACCTCCAACAGCCGGAGATACTTACGGAGACTCAAGACTCTTTCTACAGTGAGTGATGGAAAGCGGAGGATCTGGAAGGAAAATCAAAGGAAGAGGCCTGAGCCCCCACAAAAAAAAACCTGGCACCCTACACCCCAGGATCAACAGTGAGTCCTGATATAAAGTCCCAGAGGGAAAGGCTTCGTGTCACTTGCCCGGTAGCTCTGTGCCCATCTCAGAGGCCCTGTCTCCCTGCAGCCCTGGCCCATCCGTTCTCTGCAATACCCTTGCTCTCTCCAACCCCTTTTCAAATCAAGTCCCGCGGGGCTTGGAGGCACATGCCTATAATCTAAGTACTTAGGAGGCCAAGGCAAGAGAATCTCGAGCTTGAAGCCAGCCTGGACATTCCCCATAAGGGGAATGATGATGGTGATGATGATGATGGTGGTGATGATGATAAAAAGAAGACATGAAGTGGGCATGGAGCTTGGTTGGTGGGGCCTAGAGGGAGTTGGAGGTAGATGGGCGGGGGAAGATAATGGGTGTATGCAATTTCCCAGAAACGAAAAAAAAATACTAAAACTCCATCCCACTGACAGCTCTGCCTGCAAGATCCCTGTATCCCTTTTTTTCCAGAGGAGAAATACTACAAGTGGCTTGACCTGCCTCCTCCTAGAGAACCTTAGCCAAACATGGAGAGAAGACAGTCACCTACCTTTCTTCCGCTTGAGTTTGCGCTTACGCTGCTTGTTGACAAAGCAGGCAGCCAGCGTGCTGAAGAGGATGGCAGCCGCCAGGAAGCAGATGGTGGCCACAATCCCAGCCAACACTGGCCGTGCCAGCCCATCATCAGTCAGGTCCGGCTGTGGGAAGATGTCTGCAAGGAAGGCCAGAAGCACTCATGGGTCTCACGCTTGCCAGAGCTTCCCCGCCTACTCTGACACTTGATCGATCCCTAGGGCCTTTTCCCTAGGGCTGACGGGGCTGGGGCCTGGCCTCCACACATGGTTCTACCACGAGCTGGTGCAGCAGTGTGAAGAGAGGTCAGGAGGGGACAGTCTAGGATAGTCAAGTAACTTCCTCGGAGCTTACAAAGGAGAAATGATCTTCCCTCCTGAGGCTGTTGTCTATCACTGTCAGTGTGGCAAAGCACTCCCATGCATGCTGTCAGGCCTCCCACAGTAAGCCTGTGAGCTACACATATTCCTCTTCCCTAATTGGCGAAGCTTGAGGGACTGGCTCATTCTACTATTAGTACCCTAACAGGAGCACAGTTGTTCCAATTTCCAGTCAGGATTTCCTGCTTTCTCCCATGCCATCTATAGAATGAAGATACCTTGGGAATGCAATTCTAAATCAGGGAGAGGAACTGTTAGGATAGAATATAGGCCCATCCGTCTCCTAACTCCTTATAGTACAGGCTGGCAGCTTCCTACAGCAAGGACTAGTGTATCTTGGTCATTCGGGCTCCAGAAGCAGAAGAGAGGATGGGCCCAGTTCCCCCTTCCACAGTTAAGAAGCAAGGTCTATGCAAGATTCACAGGCCAAACCCAAGCCCACTGTTCTGTACACATAGGCCATGGGATCAGTAAGTGCCACTCTTAAAGAACACTGAAGGGAAATTCAAAGCATTGTGATATGGCTGCTCAGAGTTCACTGCCATGTCAATAATGATAATGGACAGAAAGAATCCACGTTACGCTGATGGACCATAGTCTTGGAAAACAGAGGAGCTAACTACGGGGACTGCTGCTGTTGCCGCAGCCTCATCCACCCATACGGGACTGTCTGACTAGGTGTGCGTCCTTTACCTGGGGGACCAGGCACAAGGCTACTGAGTAAGGACAGTTCTCGGAACTGAGTGTGCAAAACCCTCGAGTCCTCTATTTTGGCTCTGACTTAAAGTTATTTTTCTATGTTCTAGAATCATCTCTCTGAGTCTCTTCCCTGGATGGAAGCCAAAACAGAAGCAGCTCAGTTTTGCTGCCTATGGGAGATACCTTGAGTTTACACGAACTCCAGGAGACAAAAGAAAACAGAAAGAAAACTCACACTCTCCCCTTCCCCATGTGCCCTTGGCTCGACTTCCTTCTTCCCTGCCCACATCAATGCTTTTGTAACTCCAAGAAGCACTTTCTCGCCAACACCCTTGCTACCTGGTTGGTCTCAAGGATCTAAGTACACACTGTGCCCAAGGAAATGGTGCCTTGGCTGGCTTACTAAGCAAGAGCCTCTCCCACACCAAGGACACCACTTCCCTGGAGGGGGTCTCTGCTGTGTTTCAGGAACTCTGGGATGGAGCAAAGATATGTGCAAATGGGACCAGTGCCAAGAAAAAGGAAGATAAGTGGAGAAAATGCTAGGGAGTCAGCTTTATTTAGTCTGAAAATCAAAACAAAACAAAACAAAACAAAAAAAACCCTCTAGGGAGAGGAAGGAAGGAAGGAAAACAACACCAAACAACAATTTTCCAAATAAAACCCACATAATTATAAGGAAGCCTATAATAGGCATCCAACAAACACTTGTTGACCTGCTGCATCCTCCCTCTAATTCATGGTGCCCGCCCCGTCACACAGCATAGCTGGGGCGCAAACAGAAAATGTATAGCACACACTGACAAGATGCAATGGATTTCCTTTCTCAGCTATCTTGCAAAAGTATCAGAAGCCCAGCTCTGAGGTGGGATAAAATGTTACATGTCATGGAATCACAGACCTGATGGACTTCAGAAATACTAGGACTCGCATGGTTTCGACTAGACTCCTGCTTACATTTCTAATCCAGCCTGTCTTCCCAGATTGGCTATTCCACAGAAGGACTCTCATGTGGCTCTAAGGCTTATGTCCTGGTTGCTGTTAGACAATTTGGGGACCCAAAGTACCTGTGCTGGAGACACCGGCGATGTTGCTGGGCTCGCTAATCAGATCCTGCATGACAGCCAAAACCCGGAACTCATACCACGTATCCTGCAATCCAGGGACAATACCCAGTCAGCTTCAGGGCTTAGGACCACAGCCACTGATCCTGTGCATGGCCTCCACAGAACAGGGTACCCAGAACACTGGTCCCAGGAAGTGTATAATGGTGACTGCTTACAATGGCCAATGTTACAGTGTACATATTCCCAGCATTCAGGCTATGGGCTTTGAGCTGTGCACGTGAGACCACTGAAAGACTGCAAAGACAGATGCATGATGGGCTCTCAAACGGCACCATGAATCAATTCCAGGAAAGGGGAAACGGAAGGATACACGAGAGCTCTTCCAGCTATGAAGCAAGCTGCTTTCTCTCTCAAGAAAAAGATGTTCCTGCTTAAAAGATGTCCACAAAAAAAAAAGAGGAAATGTATTTTCTCCCAGGACTCTGAATTATTAATAGAAGAGCCCTTCTCTTGGCCAGCCCAAAAGACACCTTTCTAGAAGCTCCTCAGGCCACCCCAGCTAGAACCCAGGAAACTGAGGTCTGGGGTCTGATGATCCCTACTGGCCTCGCTCTGTTTACCCTACTAAGTGTATTTGAGGAAAACCATCTGTGTAGTGCTGGTCCCCAATGCCACTAAGATAGCTCTGGTCTGGGGACCAATCCAACCCTTGGTAGCAGACTAGATAGAGTCTAAGACCACAAATAAAGAGGGCCAGTGCAGGGCTTGACCTTATGCCCCTGAGGTGGGTCACTTGATAATCAGTGGCTTTACAAAGAGTCATGACAATTCCAGAAACTGGAAATAAGAGGCAAGAAATTTAAAGTCCCCACCTGTGACAGATCCTTGGCAAAAAAGTCTCCATCAGTGCCTGGAATGGCATCGTCTAGCATCTCCCAGCGCTCCCCAACTCGGAACTCCATGATATATCGGTCAATGGGGAAGCTGTGATTGGCAGGTGGAAGCCAGGACAGGAGCACACCCTGCTGGGTCCGGTTGGCTGTGAGGCACCTTGGTGGGGTCACCAGCACCAGGGGTTCTGGAGTTGTAACAGGGAATGCTACAGAAGGAAAAAGAAGAAGAAAGACGATGGCCACAGATCCCCAACCCAATGTGGGAAACTGAGCCTAACGGAGAATGAGTTTGTTTCAGAGAGGTAAGAGGGCATCACCTACAGTAGCCCTCCTGTCTCTAGGAAAGAGAAGTCAGGGCTGGTGACGCAGAGCCCTGTGACTCTTTTCATGATAGGACAACTGCAAGATAACCAAAAGCCTCCTCAAAAGGGAGGAAGCAGCAGGCACCGTGAGAAGAGAGAAGAATCTAGTGCAGAGTACAGTCACGTGACGCATAGCATCTACATCAGCAGCATCCCCGATGGTGGCCCTATGAAATTGCAAAACTGAAAAACTCCTATCAGCTAGTAAGAGAGTAACCACTATAATAGAGAACAACGGATTCCTCACACACTTGACTACATTGGTATGAACAAATATGGCACCGCAGGACACATAATGTGCAGCTGTGTGCAGTGCAGCCTGTGCAGCAATGGTAGCGCCCAACCATGCTACAGGTTGTGTATGTACTTACTGTACTGTATTTCTTTATGGCTAGGGTGTACTCCCACAACAGAAAAGATTTCCAGTGGAAACGGCCCGCCCTGTTCGATCAGCACCAGCTCCGTGGATCTAAAGTTCACTGTAAATCTTGGCTGCATCATCTTCTCGTGTGCCATGCATCTACACAATGACCTCGTTGCTTAACAACACACTCCTCAGATGTGGTTTCCTCTGATGCCTTCCCCACTATCAAGAGGTACACGGTTTACCTTCTGTTCTCATCCCAAGATCTGGTAAGCTCTTCTCACAACACATGAGTCATATTTTTTTTATTCCATTTGGGACCTTTGAGCTCAAAATGAGGCCCAGGCCAGGCTTGGTGGTGTACACCTTTAATCCCAACACTTGGGAGGCAGAGACAGGCAGATCTCTGTGAGTTCACGGCCAGCTTGTTACAATGTGAATTCCAGGGTTACACAGGGAGAACCTATTCAAAAACAAAACGAGACCCAGCAGAGGAACCTCACTGTGGGGTGATCATTTTATAGCTGCCATCCATGGGACAGAAAGGGGGCTGGAGCCGTGACCTCGAGTCCACCAGGGAAGAGTCTGCTTGCCAAGGCCTGCTCTTGGGTCCCCAGAAGACATACAACTGAAGTCAGATAGCTCAAAAGGACTCTCTGTCCCCTTGTAAAACTGCCAAACATTCATACATGCCATTGAACCTCTCCATTCCATCTGAGGGTTCAACGGAAAATAAAGCTAAAATGCTATGGTATGGGACCAGGCAGACCCAAAGAAGAACATGGCAAATCCTTCCAGGGAGGTCAGAAGAAACCACTACAAAGAACACTTAGTAAGGACGTGACACACACTAAGCCCTCTTGCTACCATCACCTCTATCTAGTCTAGGTCTGCTAAGAAATAGCCCCAATACATACCAGCCCAGGGCCTCACCTAAAGTGTTCACAGTGACCACCTCACTGAAGGCGCTGGTTCCCAGCCTGTTCTGGGCCAGGACACTGAACTGGTATGCAGTCTCGGGCTCCAGGCTGTCTACCAGCAACCAGCTGGGGCCCGGTGGCACTGACAAGGACAGCCAGTCGTGGGGCCCAAACTGAGCCCGCTTCATCCTGGCCAAAAGAGAGAGAGAGAGGATGGGGGAGAAGGGGTGGGGTGGGTCACACTGGAGAGAATAGCATGCATGCAAGGTCCCCAAGGAAAAGGCAGTGATCGTACAAGCATCCCCAGGTTCAAGGACGGGAAGAGGGATAACCAAAGGGGGGCCACCTGCCCGGCTCTTGGCTATGCCAGCTTTGATGGCACCAGGGCACACCCCACTGTGGTACCTCCCCTGTGAAAAGAGGTCCTCAGGCGTAAACCATGCTGAAGATACTGGTCAGGTTACCAATTGCACTGTGAGAGAACCCACACTCTAAGCACTGCTTTATAAATGGGCTCCGTCTTGATAGAATAGGGACACTGCATTTGAGGATGGGCACCTGGGCAATGACATGACTAGAAAAGGAGCCTAGATAACCCTGACTGTCTACCCTACCAGGGAGAGACAAAAGTGGGGTCCGTCATCCAGGATGCTCCACTCCAACTTGGGTCATCTGAGGATATCTAAAGCATGTAACAAAAGATGATCAGGGTTTCCTTCGTGGTGGGACCAGATCTCCCACAGTCTTAAAGACTAGAAAGTCACAATCAAGGGGAAATTTACAATGATGGAGAGTAAAGAAACTGGGTTTTCGACTCCAAAGCCTTCTCAGTTCCCAATAATTAAGGAAGCCACCTGCTGCAGGTGTAGTTCCAGATGACACCACAGGGAGGAGATATTGTCCTGGGTAACCGACCCACTCGATGCAACTGTGAACTGTAACTCAACATGTACCCACAGTTTCCTCTCTAAGTTGTAAGACTCACTGCTACCGGGTATGCCCAATAATGTGGGCAGAGTCGAGAGAAAGCATGGGAAGGAAAAGGGGGAGGAAAAACCAGCAGGATCTAAATGACTATATCAGTACAATGAGCTAGGGCCTGCCAGAAAGAAGGGGAAAACCCTCCTCCACCTTGGCAGCTGCCCTTCCCTCCCAAAGCACGTGACCGGAATGTGATACAGGTGGAGTAGATGAGCAGCAGTGTAGAGCAGCACCACAGGCCACAAGGGGGCCCATATCTGCACCCAAATGTCCGTCCATGCCAGCAGACAGCGCTACCACACCACGTGACACCCTTCCCCAACTCCGAGGGACACAGACAACCCACGAGGATCTCAAAACTCCCCAGACATGCATACAATCTGAAATCTGCGCCCTCAAGCCCATGCCGTTGAAGACTCGCTCTGGGGTCTCCACCTGCTGGGTCCTCCTCCCCAGATTCAGACCGAACAGGCCGAAGGAGAAGGAAGGGAACGGTTCATCTCCCCTACTTGAGGAGGTCTGTGAAGCTGGAGGCTGCAGTTCCCAGATCGGGACAGAGATGTCAGGCATGAGAAGCCCAAGGGATGTGGGAGCCGCTCGGCTTCTAGTCCCAGCATCCCATGCCTGGGTCTTCACCCTGTCCCATGCATTTGTGAGGTCTAGCTACCCTGAGGTCTGGGCAAGGGTCTTAATTCACTGATCTGGTTTGACACCAGACATGAAAATGACCCGCACAAAATCCTAGAGAAAATACAGGCAGTGGCGGCAAGGGCAGGGATGGGAACACCTGTTCTCCTAACTGGTACCTGGGACCTCCTGGTAAGGAGCAGAATAAAAACCGGACCCTACACTTCATGCGCTATTTTACAACACCATCAAGGTTAGGAACCTGGAGAAAGGCTGAAGTAAGATATGAAATGAGGAGGCGCTGAGGGTTACCAAAGCAAGAGCAGAGCAGGAACGGTTTACGCCCAAATCGGCATTCTGACCTCCAGGGTGGTACCATAAGGATGCACTGAGTCCCTTATAGACATTCCTAGCATCCTTAAGAACTTCACCACTGCCTGGTCCACTTGACCATCTGCAGAGCTGGCAAGTACAGATCCCAGTCTCCTTGGGCCCACCACCCGCCCCAGGAAGAGATGGGACTGGATGGGATGGGCTGGGCTGGGGCAGACTGGATGCCCTACATGGGGGCAAAGGAGGGAGAAGCAGAGAGCAAAGCATGCGGGGCTGACTCACAGAGGTCCGTACCAAACTGAGAATGTCTGCTCGTAGCCTCCATCATAGCCTGGCTCCCAGGACACATTGGCAGTTGTCATGGAGACCTGGACCCGGACACTGCCTGGGGCGTGGGGACTGGTGCCTGGAGACCAAGGAAGACAGCTCAGACCAAAAGAAGCCGAGCCTATTTGCTCATCCCCATCATCTTGTAGGAGATCCGGGAGAGGTCAAAGCATGTAGTACCAAGACCCATCATGAGAAGCGTCAGCAGCCAGGGCACGATCCCAGGCCTACTCTGGCTCTGCTGGGGTCAGAGAGAAAAGCCCACCCACGACATAGGCTAGCATCACCAGCAAGAACACAGGCCAGAGGACAAACAGAACCTTTCTCATCCTGACCAAATTCTCATGCATCTTGCAAACTATAAAACATTCCCTTGACATCCTGGGAAAACCCAAAAATCACATCTCTTCCATCTCTAGCCACAAGAGATGGCCACGTTCCACACAACAGACAACAGTGGCCCAGGTATAAGGCCAGCACCAACTGGGTACGAAGGGTATGACTCTGAGCAGCAGCTCCTCTGCCAAGTTGTGAATGACAAAATGCAGGCCACTTTATTCATAGCCTAAACTAGCAGAAAAATACTGTGTTGGCTTTGGGTACAACTATAACTGTCAAGCCCCAGAGGGACAGGCTACACACAGGCTGACATGTCCTGAGTAATCTGAACAATGAGTATTAGTCCCTTCCTCATGCCCCAGGCTATGGACACCAGCCCTGTCCTCAGACACCTCAGTGCCTGGCTAACAAGCCAGCCACACCTGATTCCTACTCTTTTCTATTCCAGTTCCCACAGGCCTGCCCTCCCCAAGACAGGACAAACAATAGTGGATCCTGACCCTCCCCTGCCTGAGTCCCCTGCTGTCAAGGGCTTCAAGTTGTAGTCTTTAGTCTGACTTAGGAAAGACACCTGCAGAGCGAGAAAGGTCACCCCAGATGGCCTAGCCACGCACGTACCGATGACAGTGAGGTGGGTGCTGGCAGTGATGCTTGTGACCACATTGGTGGCAACACATTCCCACTCCCCGTGGTCCTCCTTACTCAGGGCACGAAACTGGAGACTCCCGCTGGGCAGGGCACTGTGCTTGCTTCTGCTGGGCTTCCCGACCTTAGCCAAACAAGGAGCAGGGAAGAGGATGGGAGCAGGGATGAGCGCTTACAACTCAGGAGTCTGAAGAGGATGAAGACGGGGTTGCAGTCCCTGAGCCCATTGCCGACACCCCGCCACTATCCACTAATGTCGCCTCTCCTCCTAACATCTGGCCTGTCCATACAGGTCCAGGCAGAAACACCACTGGATCTTCCCTGCCGCCCCCACAGCACAAGAGCATCAAAGCCCAGGTACCTTCCTCCAGGTGATGACAGGGAAGGGGTCCCCTGCAGCTGCACAGGGGATGAGCAGTTCCCGGCCGGCCTCCTGCCTGTACTCCCAGCCTGGTAGCACCGTGAAATACGGGGGGTCCTAATGGAAGCCCAGAGACAGGTGTGAAAGGTTGCCCACAGGAAGACGGCCCACCACGGGGCCATGCATAGAAAGTAAGGCCAGGGAGACTCACCTTCAGGACAAGCCGTGCAGGGGCAGACTGGCCCATGGTCCCCAAGGTGTTGTAAGGCACACAGGTGTAAGTGCCAAGAGCCTCCTCTGTGGCCTCCTCGATGCGAATAGAGCCATCGTCCATCAAGGTCCAACCCAAGTTCTGCCAGACACGATAAGAAACCAGGGAACCATGGTCAGGACACAGGCGCTGCCCCCCAGCCACTTCCAGGCAGGGTCTGAGCTGGGCTAGACCAAGACTAGGACAGAACAGCAGCTCATCTGGCATTGGCATGGCCCTGTGGGCGTGGACCGCAGCCAAACTCCTGCCAGATCACTGCTCTTTGTTTTCCTAGGCTTTTTAGGAGTGGGCTGGCAGAGAACCAGAGCCCAGAGGCAGCATCTCTGTTGTCGGAAGGATGCTCCTCATCTCCAGTCCCAACATGCATCCCACTCATACCTTCTCTACCTGCAGCGGTCGGCCATCCTTATTCCACTTCACCACAGTAGCGGGTGGCTCTGCATCCACAGGACAGCGGATATAGCCATGGATTCCCACGGGCACATAAATGACAGGGGGCATGTTGAGGACACGGGCTGGGTCTGTGAAAGGCGTGGTGTGGAAAACCATGAGAGTCTATATGAGCAATCAAAGCAGACGGTGAGCCAGAGCACACCCCCGAGTCCTACAAAAGAACCTTCACAACTACTACTTCGGATTCCCAGTGGTCAACACAGTGCTAGGAGCCAGGGCCACCACCAAGCCCACTCGCTGGCACTTACAGCCTAGAGGCCACGCACAACAGGCTGCACACTTCTTTTGCCTGACCAACTTACTAGGCTTTTAAGAACCTTTCAAGAACGAGTGGAGGCTAAGACCACGCAATAGCACTTTTGGGCATATACCCAAAGGATGCACACTCACACCACAAGGACACTTGCTCAACTACGTTCAGAGCGGCATTATTCTTAATAGCCATAACCTGGAATCAACCTAGATGCCCCTCAACTGAAGAACGGACAAGGAAAATGCGGTACATTTACACAATGGAGTACTGCTCAGCAATAAAAAAAAAAACAAAACAAAAAACAGTGACATCTTGAAAGTTGCGGGAAAATGGATGGAACTAGAAAGCACCACCCTGAGTGAGGTAACCCAGACCCAGAAAGACAAATACAACATGTACTCACTCATAAGTGGGATTTAGACATAAAGCAAAGGAAAACCAACCTGCAGTCCACAACCCCAGAGAACCTAGGTAACCAAGCGGACCCTAAGTGAGACCTGGACCCACCTAGGAGTAAATTGGGGGGGGACAGGGAAGAGGGTAGCAGGGGAAAAGGGAGGAGGGAAGGGGAGTGTGGGGAAAATGTATACCTCAAAAAACATAACAAAAAAAAAGGATGGGTGGAGACATTCAAAGCCACATTTTAAACGACCCTAAGTCTTCAAAACTTGGTAATGGCTCTCACCAGACTACCCCAGCCCTGCCAAGCCAACAATGACCATGCACTTCTCCAACCATTCTGTATCCTGACGTCTCTCAGGAGTAAGCAGTTAATTACTTCACATCCTAAATCAAAAGAGCAATGTCACTTCTATGTGGAATGCTGTCCCAAGCATATTGGTTGGAATTCCTCCTGCAGGGTGTCTGGCTTCCCTCGGCCTCGGTATCCCACTTGACTCTGCAATTAAAGGTAAAGTCCACCGTGGTGCCAGGACAGACAGTGAGAGACCCGGGAGTCTGCGCTGAAAGTTTAGTCACATCTTCTCATTTCTCCCCAGGGCCCCTGGGGCTACAAAGGAGAAAGATCCAGAGCTGGGAAGGCTGTGATGAATGAGTTGGTTGGTGACTTTTAAGCATTCTGAGCTCTTCCGAGAAAAGCCTTACATAAATACCAGGCCGAGTTATATATTTAGATGTAGCTTCCTACTTCTGTATGATAGTCTTTTTTTTAATTCCTCCAAGGTTTTCAAAGGGTTTATGAATGGGAAATACTCTGAGCACTGCTCTTTAGCAGAAATAAAGATACTTGTCTCACCCACCTATAAATCTCAACTCCCTGGATTCTCTTTGAAGGGAAGAAGGGGGTAGAAAGGGACAAGTGGGAGTGGGTGGTGATGCTGGTGCTGAGGAGAGCCAGGGAAAACAAAATGCCTCTGCAAGACAATAGTGGCCCACAGCTCCCCGGATGGAGCCTTCGTCTCGGCCGGCTTGGCATCCTTCTGAAGGCTGAACCCCGTTGGCTTGCTAGCTCCTGCATCACTGCCACCTTGTAGCTCATGTGGCACTGCCTGCACCCAGCCCAGAGGGAGAGACACACCTGCAAGATGAAGCAGCCCCTTCCTGTGGCCCCCAGGACTGCACGCACACATCCATCCCCTGCTTTCCCTACTACGGGTCCAGGGGGATACACCCCGTGACCCGGGCTTCCAACTCATACAAGTCTAGAACTTGCACCACAGCGTTCTACAAAGCCTTATGAGTTGTCAGCAGTGCAAGAGAACCGAGGCCTTTGCTCCCGCCAGCGAAGTCATCCCTCGGAAATGGGGGAACACGCACCATGGGGGTGAGGTGGGACACAGCAAACCCAATGGAGCTTCACCGCGGTGAACTTGCCGGTTCAGCATCAGACCCGTGCAAACACTCAGACCTGTGCAGCCATGGGGGGCTGGGGGGGAGCTCCAAAGGCCACCAATTGTTCCTCCAGCTGTCCTCAGCTCAGAGGCTGACTTGGGTCACCATGCCACACTGTTCACCCCTGCCACTCCATGTCCTATAGTGTATACAATTCCCCCACAGCAGCATTCTGATAATGGAGGTCTGTCACCTATAGCAACAGCCTACAGCCTTTGTGGCCTGAGTGACAAGGCCATCCATGAGGCAAAAGGAAGATATTCATCTTCATTACCCATCTTCCCATCTCACTCTGTCACAATGTCCAGCTTGTCATGAGGTAGGAGAGCAACCCAAGGCGCCCCAAGTATTAAAACTAGGTAGGGTCTAGGGCTCACACAGAAGCCCTCTGTGGGTCTGGCAGAACAGCAGCTCATTAACTTGAGTCTCACAGATCTGAAGTAGAGGGACTATGGAGCCAGAAGGGAGCCAGGTATGGAAGCTGACCAAGTCACCTAGGAAGGTACCGTTCCTCTCAGCACACAGCGTCCACATGTGAAAAGGTAGGAGTACAGCTGGCAGGGAAACTAACCCTTCTGTCAATGGAGTTCTTAACTGGACTAATTAATAAAAACCCAGGATCAGAGAAAAATGCTGAGAGATCAGAGAGAAGGAGCAAGCCACAGCCACACCTTACCTAGCATCTCAGCAAACAAGAGAGTGAGTTCCTCTTTCTCCCTGCTTATATCCTGCTTCTGCCTACCTATCTCACTTCCTGCCTGTCCGTACAGACCTCCAGCCCTCTATGGTTAGCTAGTGGCAAGCTCCATTCTCTGACCCTCAGAGAGGCTTTGTTTACACAAACAAGATATCACCACATATCCCCCTTTTTTTGTCTAAAATTTAAAAAAGGCTATTACTAATATAAGAAAAACTATATACAATAGCTATAATAACTATATACAATATGTACAGGCAATAAGTACATCAACAATGTCTAGTCCATTGGCATTTGACAAATTCAGAGAAAATACTCCATTATCTACTCTTTCTTGAAGAGTCCAAAGTCTTGTACCTAATTTACTTTCTATTCTAATTTGCATTATCAAATTATCTTTTAATGTCTTTCAGACCTATTACACTTAACACATCTTTAGGGAGTCCCTTTACTGAGTAAACAAGGAAAACTATAACTATACTATCTAGTCTTCAACTCCCTCAGAGACCCAAGAAGGAAATAATATTAACTGAGTAAACAGGAAGTGCGAGCAAGTGACTTCCAGAAAATGTGAGAAATGACAGAAACAGCTGGCTGCCTGGAGAGTCACCCAAGGTTGCTCTGCAATGATTCACAGATTAATAGAAATGGGTTAATAACCAAGAGAGAGCTAGCCAATAAGAAGCCTGAGCCATCGGCCAAACAATTTATAACTAATGTAAGCCTCTGTGTTTTTTATTTGGGACTAAACGGACATGGGACCTGGCAGGGCAGAAACTTCCATCTATACCCTTCTCCCTCAGACACCTAGGAAAATGTGTCTAGCAGCAACTAGTTCAAGGACCAGGAATAAACTAGTACTCAATAACAAAAGGACTACCATTCTGAATGGCAAATGTTCAAAGCTAAGGTCTTTTTATCCTTGAACATGACCTAAGCTTGAATCAATGAACTGGCTGACACCAAGTGATGACCAGCCCACAGACAACCTCAGCCAGCATCAGTTCACTCTATTGGCCAGACTGGTCATGGCCTCCTCTAGAGGACTAGTCCTCCTTCGGGTGTTCCTCTGGTCCTCAGAAACATGCTGGGTCTTCAACTTCCAATGTAGCTAGTGCAACTTGCACCTACTAGAATTCCCAGAACCCCCTTCCTCACCCCTACTCACATTGCACAGTCAGGTATGCTGAGGCAGAGGGGGAGCGCCCCAGGCTGTTGCTAGGGACACAGGTATACTTTCCAGCATCCTCTGGCTTCACTCGGAAGATGATCAGGGTCCCATCAATCAGTATCCGCACCCTTAGCTTCAGGTCACTGCAAAAACAATGACAAGCAGGCAAGGATGTCGGCAGAAATACAAGCAAGGTAGTAATGAGCCCCTTCACCTCCCCTAGAGGCAATAAGGAAACTTAGGGTTCCCAAGCACTGCCGGGGCCCCTCTCTCAAGGCAGTGGCCTGTGGGGACCCATGGGAGAGGGTTGAAGGTGCGTGCTGCTCACTTCTGGAAGTAGACGTTCTCATCCTGCCAGTACCAGGTGTAGGTGAGGTTGCCGGGATACGCCTCTGCCCTGCAGGTAAGCAGAGCATCCTGGGAGATGTTGACGGTGATGTTCTCAGGAGGGGAAACAATGAAGGGAGGCCCTGGAGAGAACAGGGAGTAAACATCACCTCTCCTGATTGGGAGGGTTGCCATGCCAAGCTTTCCAGGAAGCTCTGGGATGCTCAACGTGGGGTGTCCAGGCAGTCATCATGGAGATGCTCCCAACTGATTGGGAGGGTTGCCATGCCAAGCTTTCCAGGAAGCTCTGGGATGCTCAACGTGCAGAGCCCAGGCAGTCATCATGGAGATGCTCCCAACTGCTGGGAGGCTCAGGCACCCTTCAGTACCACATCTGCAATGGCTCCATGATTTCCAGACGAGCCATTTATAACCTACACACCTTTCCTGCCCAGCTCTCTCCAACAGAGCTCAGGCCAGAAGGTATGAGGCTCGATTATCCCTGAAGTAGACAGAACCTTGTACTGTCCTCTAGTCAGAGGTTCGGGCCTCAGGAGAGGAGTCTGGGGAGCAAAGAGGTAAAATCCAGCAAGCTTTGGGACTGGTAAGCCAGACCTCAGCAGAGCTGGGCTTTGGCTCTCCCTTAGAGGGGTATTGCTGCTTTACACAACCTGCCTCAGCTCCTGCTAAGCCCTCAGAAGCCAAAGGAGAAAATGTCACCACCAACTAGACACAACTACCCTTAATTAACTCACACTGTGACTCCAGCATGCACAGATCCCTAGACCTGACAATCTTCCCATCCCGAGTAGTGAGTGCTCGCTCAGTCCCTTTCAGGGCACTCTGGGGCCGGACAGAGAGGCCAACATCTCAAAGCTGACTACAGAACCCAGCTTCACTCAAAATCCCCGGTGGTGTTTAAATGTCAGGTGCTTTAGATTACTGTCCTATCTTTGATGATGTCACTGATGGAGAGATGACCCAAGGGTGTCTCCTCTCCAAGGGAGGCAGAGACATACCAGGAATGCACTCTCAGAAACAGCTACACCATTTCCCAGCTGACCGGGGGGGGGGCCTGGATAAGTGATATATGTGAGACAGTCCCCACCTAGCTCCTCTACTATGCCCTGAGAAAATGTTCTCCACGGTTCAGCAGGCCTGGAAGCCTCCTAGAGTCTCAGAGATACAGAGGCTGAAAAAGTTTCCCTACCTTGAACAAGCAGATGAGTTGTATGCACAGCCTCGCCCTGGATGCTGTACGCTCGGCAGGTGTAGGCGCCTCTGTCTTCCCGACTGACTGATGTCACCGTCAGGCTACCGTCACTCACCTAGGAGCACAGAAAGAACCCAACATCACCTGTGTGCCTCACCAACATGTCTCTTAAGCAAAGAGAAGAGCTCTGAGAAGCTGGAAATGGCCTCAAGGACTCATACACAGAGGCAGCCAGGGACAAGGTCCTCCTCATTCATCTCCCTACTAAAGGCAGCAGAATGCTTCCAGTCAAGTCAGGCCATTGGTTTGCCTGCCTCCAGGTACAGAACTCTGATTCTGTACACATAGCATCAGTGGCCAGCTGCCTTAGATGGGAGATAGGCAGGGAGGGAGGACAAGAAAGGGTGGTTTTGGTACCCAGGTGAGAGCAGTACTCACCTGGAACTTTCCACTAGCACCGAGGAGGGTCCCTTCCTTGAGCCAGGTGACGATGGGCTTAGGGTTCCCAAAAGCAGTACAAGTCATGGTAATACTTCCCCCTTCCTTGGCCTCAATGTACTGGGGGGGTGTTTCTGTAAAGGTGGGAGGGGCTGCAAAGAACACCAGGAAAGTGAGAGACGGACTCAATCCACCAGTGCTTAGAACGCTGCAGTATGCAAGGAACAAAAACAGTGCCTAAACTTCTGCCCCCTATAATACACCATGGAGGTGGGGTGGCCTAGGACCTGCAGATTATGTGAGGGTACCCTCCCCCATGCTCTGAAAGTACGATTAACACTCCATCTGGTTTGGATTATGGGCTTTTAAGAGACTCAGCACCCTTTGCCTGAGCCTGCTTGCAGAGACAATTTGGTCAACTTTGGCGCCTATTCTCAGTCTGGCTAGCTCCAAATTCTAAACTTACCCGGCTGAACTTAGCTACTACCTACTATTGGGAAGCTGCCGTGCTCAGTGCTAGGAACATGACAAACACAACTGAAGAGTCTCCCACCTCCCTTCAAGATAATCACGATACACAGGGTCTCCTACTCCCTGTATCCCAGTTCTACCAAGCCCATTCATTCACAGGAGCTTTCTTGACTGAGTCCCATCAAGGCCCAATATAGGTCCCAGGCTAACAGATGTGCAGTCTTACTTTTACCTCATTCCACAGACAGGGAAAAATCTCCCTGCCTGCCTCCTCCTCTTTGGCTCCTGTGGATAAAGGTGAGTAGTGAATTCCACAGGCTACTACCTTCTTAATTCTCCCCTGATTACATGAGGTTATCCTCTCCCGTGCACTGAAGGTATGATTAACACTCCATCCTGTTTGGATAATCGGCTTTTAAGAAACTCAGCATCCTTTGCCTGAGCTGCTTGCAGAGACAAATCTGGTCAACTTTGACCTCTCAGACTATTGGTTCCATGCTCTTCCAAAATGGCTATTCAGAATACTAGCACCAAAACCATCCTGTGTTCCCCCTCAAGGGTCCAAGTTCAAATACTAGCCTACCATATAATCTCAGACAGGTTCCTCAGACTCTCTGGGCTTTCTCTGAATCCTCCAACCTCCAGAATTGATGTAGGTAATAAGAAAGATAAGGTTTATGAGAGATCATGTGTAAAATGCAGACACATGCTTACAGTAAACTCTGATTGCTCTGCCGTCACTACTGTCATTACCACACCTGGGAGCCTTAGTCTGAAGACTAAAGAAGAGCTTCAGAAAGACTGCGTCCCCCTCCACATAGCTGTGCACCAAGAGTCAGTCAGAGTGCTAGGGTTGGGTCCTGACTGCACTAGCTGCATCTCCTAGACATGTTCTCCTGCAGACTCTAACAACACTGGCTTTCTGTGTCCCCCCTACAGCAAGAACGCCAGCCTCAAGACCATCCATTTGCAGAGCTCTTCCTCGACCTGCAACTCTATATCCAGTTCCCACTTCATTGATTTGCGTGAGCAGTCTTTTCCTAGTGCCATGGAATACTCAGATTTCCTGTCGCTCCTGGGTGTACAGTGCTCAACAAACATTTCGTGAACAAAAAAAAAACCCGAATGAAATAAATAAATGAATAAAGACCTACGACACGCATGTCTACAGTCCAGTACAAACGCAAGTACATACATCCTCTTGGAGGCAAGACCAAGCAGGGACACCTTGGCCTAGAATCTCCAATACCTATAGCTAGGTGGGGACACAGGACACTTGGAACTATAGGATGAATAAAGAAGTACATTTCATCACATAAAACATACATTCCCAAGAAACACGGCGCTCAGCCAATGTTCGGAAAGATGCTAAAAGCAATGGTGACAAGCCTTCCCAAGTCCTTGTAAAGGTGTCCTGGAACTCCGGCCTCCAGGCACTGAGAACATGTGCTCGTACCAGAGCCTACATTCACCCACCCTGCCCCTGAAATTCAGTTAACTCAACCACAGCCTCTGTTACCTCTGGTGTCAAGCTTAAAAGAAAAGATAATAAATTAAATTATGTCCTGAAGTGACAAATTAATTACTAATTACATAATTACTTTATTATTTAGGTGCTAATCAGGAAAGTACTTTGAACAATTTCAAGTTTTCAGGAAAATAATGGTTTGACTCTCAATTATTTACTGAATTAGGTGTTAGCTTGCCAGCTGCATTCCCAGGCTTAATTCCTCTTGCAAGTGCCCTACAATTAATAGCGCAGGTTGGAAATAAGCTGGCCTCTCCTCCAAGCCATATACCAGACCTAAAGCAAAACTTGGCTTGGGCTTCAGAGGTATTTCACGCATGATAAAGGAATAATTGGGATTGTTTTCACCTAGTCAGTCTTCAAAGAAACACAGGAGGCGAATGAGACAATTTATTATAACTCTTATTTTTATCCTAGCCTTTCTTTCTTATCTCCAAAGGTAGCCCTGTCACAAGATGCCTGACATTACACATTCTGCTCTGGATTCGACAAAAGGCTAGCACCCGCTTCTTTCTGTCCAGAATGGAAATAATTCACACAGGAAGAAATTTTGGAAGAGAGGAAATGGGGGCTTTGGCGGGAGCTCTCTTTCAAGTAGGATGCTGTTCTGCTCCGCTCATCATCCTGGCCGGCTCCTGGGTGATAGTGAACTGCACAGGACAGTCTGGTTCTCAAGCACAGAGCAGATAGCGGCTCCGCCTCGGTGCTCTGCCCAGCACTCAGATGTCACAACCTACCTAACTGTGGTGCTCTCCTCCTTTGGACTCCCAAAAGTCCTGTAGGGAAGGACCTTTCCCACCTCCCTTCCTGCTCTTGCCTAAGTTCCTCCCTGGCCAGGTTTCTGCAGAGGCCACGTCCTCGGAGGCTCTCCCTCCTTTGTGCTCCAGAAGGCACGAGGCAATCATTTCTTGACATGACTGGAAGCCTTAAACACCAGGCTTGGGTCACGTCCCCTGCCTGACTCCTGCCACAGAGAGGACACTGGGAAATTAAGTCTTGAATGGATAGCTTTTGGTAGGTTGGCAAGGACTTTTAAAGGACTGTGGTCCTCGGTGCCTTCCGGCCAGCTATCCCTGCCACCCACGTTTTGATCTGCTTGCACTCTCCCCCATCTCCCCCCCCCCACCCCCCACCCCCCGCACTGTGAAAACTGTGGCTGCCCTCAGATGGTTAAGAGACACAATCTCACACAGCAGTCCACTGAATCCTGCAACACCCTGCAAACAGACTCTTTCTGAGGAAACTGAAACTCGGAGAGGTGATTTAGCTGGCCCCAACGACTTAATATGCAATGGGTTCAAGAAATAAGCCATGTCTTCGGCATGCCTTGGTCCACATCTGTTCCACTCTGAGAAACTAGAAATGCCGGAATAATCAACTCAAGCAAACGAAGACAATCTCCAGCAGAACGCAAGTTTCCGACAACTCTACCTTCCTGAACATGAATCTTGGTTACGGAACTGGTGTCTGGGTTCCTGGAATAGAGACTATCAATCAGGATGATGTGAGAGCTAGGCCATGGCCTCAGGGTGGTTTCAGGCAGTAGGAAAAGGCACTGGGTGGGGGTGGGTGCGGGGTGGAGATGATGCAGGATCTTCTGAGACGGTGTTCAATCATGAAAGCCTTCTGAGTTACGATCTGCTTAGGTTCCCGGTGAAAGGAGATTTCCCTGTGCCCACAAATGACTCAAACGGTCACAAGAAAGTTGGCTGGTGCTAGAGAAAACCACAGAGCATTTAAAATCTGCCTTCAACAGCAGGAACCAACAACACCTAGAGACTGCTCTGCCTCTGACCGTGGATCACCAGCTTTTAAGTGTCCTGCACTATAGGCCAACGCTCCTGCTAAAATCATCTCTTCTGAGGCTGAGAATATAACTTTGGCAAAGCATGTGGCTGGCCTGCACAAGGCCCTGGGTTTGATTTCCAACACTGAAAAAAGAATTATCTTTAAGAAAAAACTAAAAGACTGTTCTACGCAGACTCTGGACAGGCTCCCAAACCCAGGCAGAGTATGAGTCTCGCCGAGCCCTACTAGGAATGGGAGACAGAACCATTCTTCAAGTCAGAACCATCTCCAGAGAAATTTCTAATTTAGGAGCATCAATTCTCAGGGCCACAGCATCTATATTCCCAGATTTATCCCAGATACAGAATACCTCAGCATGTGTGGTATTAAAACCTCATCCTATATGGAGACCTTAAGACTCAGCCCCTCAGACCATGCCCACTGTGAACCCAGAACACCCCAGCCTAGACCAGCCCTGGTGCTCGGCAAGCTCACCCAGGCCTCCTTGCCCCAGTCAGACACTTGAAAAGCATCTGTGCATAGCACAATCCATTTAACATGAGCTATAAATAACTGACAGCCATTTAAACAGTTCTTCTTCCCAGGATTCTCACATTTTATTAGCCGGTAAACCCTGTTCAAGCAGGAAATGGGTCTGGGTTTACTCAACATTATTTACCCATCACCTGGTGCGGGGCTAGGAACATAATAGACCCTCGGTACTTATTACCCAAATAAACCCAGTTAACAAGGACTAAGTAAGCAACCAGGAAGAACCATGCTGAGATTCAAGGAACTCCACCTGAGAAAAGGCATTCCCTGGGCTAGCAAATCATCCAAGGCTGAGAAATGACAGCAACACTGACCAATTCAAATCCCCTGGTGCTCAGAAGCAGATTCAAGCATTCCTGAGAGGAACTCTGATGCCACCCTGCACACAGGGTACCTGTTGCTATTGACCCATGAATTCCAGGAACACATCTGAGGGGTGTAAAGACGTGAACCAAGATCTTATGGGGCCAGGGGCTTACTGGGGCTCTTCTTTGTAGAGTCACTTCCTCCAGATTAGGCCCAGAGGCCATCTTCCTTGGCCATTCCAAGAAAGAAACATTAACGCACCGTTAATGGTGAGATGGACCCAGCTGCCGTTGTGGAATGTGTCATACTGCTGGTCCAGCATAAGGACTTTGCATTCGTACCAGCCCTGGTCCTCCGAGCGCACTTGCTCCAGCCGCAGAGATGCTTTGTCATGAAGACTGGCCCGGCCTGGGGGGACATAGTGAACAGAGCCCAGTGAGCCATAGGCTGAGCCATCAGCTCTCCCATCCCCCCACCAAAGGCAAAGGGACCCTTCATACCCTTCAGACACTTCCATGCCAGTGTCCCAAAACAGCAATCGGCAGTCACCATGGGCAACAGGCAACGAAAACCAAGGTAAACTGCCTTGACTATGCACCGCTGCCCCTCCCCAAGTGGCCCTGCACCGGTCTATAAGGACAACTTGCTGTGTGTGGCACTGACAACAGCCTCTGCTCCTTAAAAATGTACCCATTCTTGTGGAGATCTGGGACAAAAAGCAAGGCACGATGGACGCAGAGATGAGAAGAGAAAGATACAGAAGAGGATAGACTGGGGTTGCCCAACAAGACCCACAATGTCTTCGTCCCTGCTGGATGCTCAGAACCTGTTTGGCCCAGCTTCCTTCTGTCTGGCTTTCCCTAAAGAGGCAGAGGGGAGGCCGGCCAGGGCCAGATGTTCCGGTCCTTTCCACTCTTGCCACCAGTACCAAGACAACATTTGCCCCCAAAGACCAGCCTAGAAGGGCAAGGCAAGGCAAGGGCTGGCGGCTCCTCTTGGCCACCTCTGTGATGCATAGGGCATAGCAGAGTCCCTGCCTGCACTGTAGCTGTTGACAAAGCAGCCCAGGGGCCCCTCTTTCCCCCTTCCATTCCGGCCCACAGTCATCCAAACCAAAACCACCACTTCCTCTGCAGGCCTCCCCGCCTTGGAGTCAAGCCTTCCTTGTAGGAACTCCGATGCCACTCTGCCTAAAAAGACTATCAAAGTTAATCCTGGCCAAAAGGAGGGTAGGGGACATAGGTGCAGAAGAAAGCCAAGCAGCAAAAGGCCTGGCACGGTGGTACAGGCCTGTAATCCCTGCTACTCAGGAGGCTAAGGCGGGAGGACTGGGAGCTGGGAGCCGGAATGGGCAACTTAGTGAGACCCTGAGACGCAGGGACTCGCGTGGAGTTCAAGGGTACAGCAGCTGCTTGGAGAGAGCCATGCTTTGAGTTCCCTCACCAACACCAAAGGAAGAAATGGAGGGAGGGGAGACGGAGATAGGTAGGGAGGGATGGAGGGAGGGAGGGATGGAGGGAGGGAGGGAGGGAGGGAGAGAGGGAGGGAGGGAGGGAGGGAGGGAGGGAGGGAGGGAGGGAGGGAAAAGAATGGATGCATTCTCAGAGACGGCAATTCAGATCTCAGAAGCCACAGGAAGAGAGAAAGGCAAAGGCAGGGTCCTGCCTGTCTCCTCACTTCCCTTCAGCTCCAGCACACATTCCCACTAGCAGACATAAACAGGCACACACCCTGTACCCTCTTCTCTGGCGGGCTGGCGGGCGGGCGGCAGCAGTGAGTCACAGGGAGACCACGCTGGCAGAATAATTACAGAGCAACGCATAAACAGGGCCAGGGAACGGGAGGGAGGGTAGTGGCAGAGGAGGTGAGATGGGGTGTCTGCCAGGGCCACAGGCAGCAAACAGTGGAGGTGCATACCAGGCTCAGCATAGGACACCCAACTTCAAAGACAGGACAGTGGGGGCACACGGACAGCAGATCCTGCAGCCTTGCACCATACCTGGCAAGGGATGGAGCTGTCTGAATCCCTTCCTCCCTCTAGTCCTTGCTTCCTCCCAGGGGGCCCTCTTTCTAGTTTGCCCTGGTCTCCTGGCCTCTCATCACATCCCCAGGCTGAACAGACAGGCTTCCTGTTTGCCTCTCCTGGAGAGTAGAAGGTAGAGAGAGAAGGCAAGGGGCGAAGATCATGAGAAACAGAGATAATAGGACCAGTCAAGAAGGGACAGAGATAAAAATGAAGAGTGCCCGGGGCTCCGTGGGTACCACTGAGTCCTGGGAAGAAGGCTCAGCACAGCCAGGACCTAGAGGGCAGTGGGGATAAAGAGGGCACAGCCCTCATCACTCACACCTTACCTGCATATTCAGGGTCCACGTGTGGGGGATAGTAGCCAAACTTGATGAAGATAGGGATGGGGACCCCAAACTTGAACCACTCTACAACATAGGGCGGGGGCTGTCCCGTCACTGGATGGATGACGTCGCATCTCAGGACGACACCCTCACCGGCTCGAGCAGTCACAAACTCGGGTTCCTCTCGCAGGCCGTGGGCACCTAACAAGGACAGCCAAGGTGACACATGAGGAGTTGGCAAAAAAAAAAAGATCCTGCTCCTACAGTTCATGCTGATATCCAGCCCTCCCTCCCCACTTCTGGGTCTGCCCCTTCCCTCCCCTAGGGTCCCCAGTGCACCCTGGACACCCACCTCTTATGCATACCTCCCTCTGCCCTGAGGACATTCAAGCCCCCCCCCACAGCTTTGGAAGAAGAGTCTCGCCACCAAGACTCCCCATGCTACGCCCAAAAAAGCAGCAGGCATAATCATGCCTGGCTTTCCTTCCTCAGGTAACCCCTGCCCTGTGAAGAGGCATCAGGAGCTATAGACACAGGGAACAAGGGACCTTCAGGCCTGGGTGCCCTGCCCAGCTCGTAGTCCTTTGAACATTCAGCATTCTTTCTGAAGCAAGGCACTTCCCACTGGAGCCTGGTGGGCGAAGGCAGAGCCGGCCTCCTCCTCCTCTGCCCCACCCCCAGCTCAGCCTGGTGTTACAGCACTAAACAAGAGGGCTGCATACAGGAGCGGGGAATCCCTAACAAGCTAAGGAGGCTGCTTGGCAACACCAGAGGGAAAGCCCCACGGGCCTGAGCGGCCTCTCCAGCCCCTCCTCCAACCCAGTGCGCCAGCCTTGCTGCAGAGCGAGCGGAACAGGAGGCACTGCAGCCATCCAGTTTCCAGGCCTTGAATCTATTAGACTCTCCCAGCATCCGCAGACATCACCATGAAGGGAGGAAGACGATGTTAGCAAAGCAGGGGTCATTGGAGCGACCCCCTACCTTTCACAGGGGACATCAAAATCAGGGAGCGGGGAGGGTACACCCATATGGGGAAGAGGTTAAGGGACAGAAACAGGCAAGAGAGGCCTTGACCCTATCCAAACTGCAAGCTTGAGGAGCCAGGAAAGAGGCTAACTCTGGGGACACTGTCCACACATCAGAGCAAACAAAACCTGAAGTCCACCTCCAGCCAGACACCCTTCTCACACCAGGAAGGGAGAGGGAGATGGCAAGGTCACCTTGATCATTTCTTCCAATGAGAAGGACAGCCTCACCTTTGCCTCCCTTCAACTGCCCAGGACTCCCAAGCTAACAACACACATTTCTCCCTACACCACCCACCAAGCCCAGCTCTCCACGGCAGCACCAAGGACAGCAGCCACCAACAGGAGGCTTTCCGCCAGTTGGGCCCTCCCACCCAAAGATGCCTGCTGAAGGGCAAGGGAGCTTTCTTTGGCTGACCACCTCTGCCCTTTCTGCACCTGTGACCCCGTGAGCTCATGCCTCTGTCTTTCCTTCATGTCTGTGTGTCTAGCTGTGTGTGTGTGTCTTTCCTTCATGTCTGTGTGTCTACCTGTGTGTGTGTCTTTCCTTCATGTCTGTGTGTCTAGCTGTGTGTGTATCTCTGAGCACTGCCCACCTCTCTCTGTCCTCTGTACCAGCTTCTCTCCTTTCGCCAGGTCTGGCTTCTCTCTTTCTGACTCCTATAGGTATCTGTCTTTGTCTCTTTTTTGGCATTGGTGCACATGTGTATTTGTGCATTGTGTTCCCATGTTTGTCTGTCTGTCTGTCTCTCGTTTCTTCCTCATGTCTGTCAATGCCTCCATCTCTGTTTCCTTCTTACTCCCACTCCATGTGGGTGATTCTGTCTACCTGCCCCCCCCCCGTGTGTGTGTGTGTGTGTGTGTGTGTGTGTGTGTGTGTGTGTGTGTCTGCATGGGGGGAGGTGATTTCTTTTGGTCTCTGGCAGAAAGGGTTTTGCATGCTTTTCAGAAATGGGGGAGCTTTCTTGTGTGCCTGTGTTCTTCTTGTCTGTGCCTCTCCAAGGAGTCAGTGTGTGTCGCCTGTGTCTCCCTCTCCCCCCTCTTCTTCCCTCTTCTCTGCAACTTGCGGAAGGAGGAGGCAGAGAGGGAGGCAAGCCCTTCCAGAAGCTTATTGGCTCCCGGTGACATCACTGTTTTCTAGAGAAAGAGCTAAGATCACTGAGTATTTTTGGAGCAAAGCAGAGTGTTGCACTCACCTGCCAGAGGCCCAGGCAGGTTTCCCAGCCTCCCCTCCTCCAATCTGGCTGCAGGCTGTTTGCAGATCCAGGAAAGGAGAGGTCCCAGCTGTAGGGAGTGTCTCCCTGCATCCCCAGCATCCCATAGGACACCTGGGCAGAAAAATCCTACTGAATCCAGGCACACAAAGACCAGCACCGGACCAAGAGGAATTGATGGCCAGAGGGATCCATGAATCAGAATGGGGAGTGGTGTTAATGCACATACATGTGTGTTCACATATGCAAAAACTACCTGCAGCATAGCCTGTGAGGAGATTAGGAGACAAACTACAGGAGCCTGGGAAAACAGAAAGGATTTTTCCCAGGGCCAGGTTACCTGGAGGTGGGCAACGTGGCCCACTAAAGGCAGCTTGCTTGTCCCTAAAGTCGAATCAAAAAGAAGAGAGCTGGGGGACACCTTGAAACCCTAATAATTAAGTTCTGCTCTGGACAACAGACGGCCAAGTCCAGGGCTCTGGAGGGCAATGCCCAGAGGCAGGTCAACTTTGGCATGGGTCAACTCTGGCATGGGTCAACTCTGGCATGGGTCCCCACCGTGCCAGCTGCTCATTTGCACCCAGCACCGCCTGGTTCTCACTGCATCTCAATAAGACGGCTTCTTCACACCTTCCTTCCCAGCCCTGCAAGGAAAGCTGCAGGCTTCAGCCAGTGCCTGGGCTGGGCCCTGAACCCCAAGCATGAAGCACACCCTAGGTAGCCGGGCAGGCACTCTCCCATCAGCATCTCTTAGAGCATCCCAACCGCAGACGTGCGACTGCAAAGTGGATGCATCCCCTAGATGTCACACAAGACAAAATGAGACAAGTGTCTCCACGAGGAAGGCGAGGGGGAAGCCATGTCTCAGCCTCCACACTCAGCCCAGCTCTCTTGGGTCTCTGGATCTCAAAATAGTCTTCTTCTCTTCTACACACACACACACACACACACACACACACACACACACACACACACACACACACACACGGTATGTTCCCTCACTCTATCACCCACGGATACCTCTCTCCAGGCCTGATTTTTCTCTGAGCCAAAATATGTCTAATAAACATCTCTCCAGAAAAGCTCAGTGAGAAAAAAAAAAAGAAAGAAAAGAAAAAAATCAGCCTGGCATACAGTGGGAAGAGGGTCTTCAAAAAGTAGAAATTGAGAAATCAAACACGGGGGGGGGGCCGGCAAGCAAACCCCACGCTGGGAGTGAAAAAGGCTCAGGGCATGAAATTGGGGGGGAGGGGGAGGGGTGGCAGGACACACATGAATCTCACGAAAGCTGGGTGCCCGCCCAATCCAACTTGGGAGACACTCAGGTCAGCCACCATAACAGAGAGACACTGGAATTCAAAGAACCCTAGAGCTAAGAGTCAGCAAAGCCTACATAAGGCTGACATATTTGTCCCCAGCAGGGCCATGGGGAACAGCTGGAAGGCAGAGGAATGAGGAAGGAGGGTGGGGGTGGAGAGAGACAACATGCTTAGTGACCACAGATCCCTCCCTTAGACTGGCTTTAGCAGGGGGTAGGCACAATTAAGGAAACTAGAAAGCATCCTAGACTCCACAAGCACTTTTCAGGAGGGCAGAATACGATCTCGCATGCCTAGTAAATCCGAATCCCGCGTGACTGCCTAGTCCACTTTAGGACTATGGCATCCTGGCAGGAAAGAGAGCAAGAGGGCAGGTGGACGGAATGGGCCCCTACAGGTTGGCTGACCTTTTGGGAAGCCCATAGGATACAAATCTCCCATTCTCTGGGCCAGGTGGTACCCAGTGGGTATCTGAGTCCAGAGCTGCCAGCAGACACCCTGTGTGCACAGAACCACAAGGCATCCAAGGCTTGGCACAGTCCCACACCCAACAGTCACAACCTAGAGCCAGGAAAGAGCGGGGGAGGAAGGGTCCTGAGGATGGAAAAATCACTTTTTACGTACCCAGAGAAGAAGCAAAAGGCAGGTGTTGAAGCCTGGGCTGCAGCTGGAAGGCAAACAGAACACACTGCCCAGCTCCACCACATACAGGGTCTGCAGCAGGAGCGTGATGCTACAGGCCTACAGTGTGACACAGTGCTGCTTTCTCAGTCTCACAAATGGGGACAGTACGCGGCTCCCCTAAGTTACCTAGGTAACAAATGGTGGGTCAGGATTCCTTCCAGAACCCAGATGGCTAAGTCCTCTTTCCTATGCCCCTTTCCTTCCCTACAGTCAAACCTTCCACCCACAATCTGCATAGGTTCTGAGAGTCCAGACCCTACTTCCCAAGACCACAGAAGGCTTACAGGACAGGCCTGCCTTCCAAAAGCATGGAGCACCACTGGCTGACTCTGGTGAAGGCTACTCTACCCGGACCTGGAAGCCCTGCTCAGTCTGATAATGGCTAAGAGGAGGGAAGACACAGGCTGAATACCAGCCTCCATGGCTCCTTGGTGCCGCCTCCTCTTCCTCCTCCACTGGGCACCAGACTCTCAAACCACAGGCCTGTTGTCTAATAATACCAGCGACAGCCACCACCACCTCCATCTGCCAGCCTAAAAATAATCCCTGCTGAGTCCAAAAAAGACACAGCCCCCAATAGTCCCCCAATCCCTCCTCCTCGACAGTCCAGGAGGCTCCAGGAGATTCCAGGAAGCCGGCAGACTTGGGCTCTCACCATGTGGGAGGCACACACCCAGAGGAGGGCCTGAGGACACCATTAAGTTGGCTCCTACCACCAGGTGAGGAGTATACAGAGAGCCTGGCCTGGAGAGAGGGGACCAGTACCCAGGACATGAGTGTGTCCCATCCTCTGCACACACAGGGAGGGTGAGTTTGAGGCCATCCATGGCATCTGTCCTTCCTGTGCCTAGAAAGGACCCTGGCATGCTAGAGAAACCCTACTTTGCTACGGCTCCCATATTTCACAGCCTTTCTGTACCCCTCCCCCAGGAGGCCAAGGAATAGTGGGCCAAGTCAGGTAAGCTGCAGCTTTAGGAACAGCAGGGTACTAGCTGGACTGGGGTTCCACCCTCTAACCCTTCTGCCTGGACTGCCCCCCAGTCACTGTGAGGTAGCAATGCTATTAGTGACCTTAATTTGCTGGACTAGATTGTATTTCCAAGAGCCCTTTCCCCAGGAGCCACAGTCAGGAAGGAAGTCTGTAATTCAATCTCAGTGCAGAGCTCCTCAGCAGAAAAAGTGGAGCCACACCCCCTACACCCACAACCCCCAGCCCTACCACCTGGATGGAAGGAAGCCTGTGCTCCCACAGCCTGTATACCACAGAGGGCAATCTGGTATGCATACACCGAGGCTAGCCAGTGAGGGCACAACAGACCAGGCACAGTAACCGGGAGATTACTTCTGGTCGAGTAGCAGCAGCATCCCTGCTCCGAACCACGGAGAGGACAACGATTCACTGGTATAGTCTGTGCCCATGTACAAGTTTGATGTCACAGCCCCCCTGTCTATGACCAGAAAGAAGGTAAAGGGACAGCAAAGAGGGCAGAAGACCAGGTTATCAGTCTCTTTGTCAGAAGTTCAGGCAGGCAGGCCAAGACCTCTGTCACAGCCCCACGGAACCTACAAAACCCTCATAGAGCCCCATCTCTACTCACCACTCTCCTGCTTACTCATGCAAGAGCCGGCAGGGAAGCAGGAAGATTTCTAAGAAAAATAGGTCAGTTGCCTCAGGCAGACCAGGCCACACCCATGGGCAGTGCCCCTGGGGCAGAAAGGAGCCTGACAGCAAGCTGCTTCTCCACCCCAGTCGTCTCCCATCTCCCCAGGCACCCAGAGCTTTGTCTACCCTGGACTGTGCCAGGCTGATGGCAACTAATGCCTCTTAGCAAGAGAGGCTGTCAGCCTCCTCATGAGCCAAGCATCTGCCCTGTCACTTAGGCTTTCTCTACTGGGCCCCAGGCAGTCTTTGGTCCTGGCCTTGGGCTGGAGTCTTCAACTCTAAGAACATCTGGGCTGCCTGGATACAGGTGCAGAGCAAGGAACAGGGAAGCAAGCAGTTTGTTGAGCTGTTTCCCTGCATCCCATAGTACTCAAAAGAGGGGTCCCCACCTCAAACTTGTACATAACTGCTCTTCTCCTGATGTAATCTATGTATGTGCACACAGACACACAAAGCACTCATAAGTGCATGTATACACATGTTTTGGTGTGCATACCAGTTACAGAGGCATGTATGCATACAGATATATATATATAAGTGTGTGTGTATACATTTAAAATACGCACATCCACACATGCGTATAGGAATACACATTAACGCATACTGAGGTGCTTATGTATATGCACACATGCACACACATATATATACATGCTCACTCTTCTTTTAAAAAGCCGAAAGTTCTTACCAACCGCAGCTCATTCAGATCCACTCTTCACACAAACTGCTCAACCCACCCCTGGAAGCAGAGAGATGGGGGTCACTACCTGGGGGCCCCAGCCGAGAAGCATCAGAAGGGAAGAGTCTCGTGAAGAGAAGAAGCAGTTAAATCTCATTGCGCATAGTGCTTTCCTAACTGGGCCTCACCTCCCACCCCCACATTTTCAGTGCCAGCTGGGGGACTGCAGGGAGACTGAATGAGCACCAGCAGAACTGAGAGACCGCCAAAGAGGAAGCGTACATGCGGACCAGCTCTGAGAGCTAGGGGCTGCCCTGCCGGGGAGAGGGCAAAGAGAGCTACCAGCTTTCACTATCTCCTAGCCAGGCAACCTTTGCTCCTTGAGAAACCAGATCCCAGGTTTCTGTCTCAGAGCTATAAACATGAAACCATCTGAACCCGGGCCCTGACAACTCCAGACACTGGCGTATGCCCAGCCACAGGCCCACAACTACCAGCTGACTCTTTCCAGTACACAGCTTCATGCCTCCTCCCACTCTGGCTTCTGGCAGGGGGCCTCTACCAGACACACACCCTCCCCCCCTTTCTCCCCCTCCATGTAAATGTCCCGAGGCACACTCACAACAGTGCTCACTACCCACTTCCTGAGCCAGTCCAGGGGTTGAGACACACGCCTTCCCATCTCCATCAACAAAGGGAAGCTGTGCAGGTCAAAGCCAGAGAGAGGACACTGCTCCAACCACAAGTGGATTCTGATCAGACCCTAATTGACCTGGGCACCCAGGAGCCAGGAAGTCCACCAACAGACAGGGAAGGTAGCACTTGGATTAAGGACCAGACTTCCTTACAGAAGGCGAAAGTCAAGTATGCCTAGTGCAGGGTTTCCATAGTGTGGAAACTCCCCCAGCCTGAAGGACAGATGCCTGTGCTGCACAGATCTCATCAGTAACCTTCCTCCTTTCTTTACCCTCCTGACCTGAACACCGACCTGGGTTACTTCCAAAATGCCAGACCAGAGTCAAGAGAAGGACCCATGCACACCTTGTCCCAGACTATCAAGTTGACAGTCCCATCCTGACAGTTTCATGGACCTAGAGCAGTCCCTGCTTCAGACAGTTCTAGAAGAAGCATCTCACAGTCCCTGGGGTTGGAGGATTTCTCCAGAAGTCACCTCTGCCACTCACAGAACAGCTGGATCCCATAAGACCTCTCACGGACACTCCAACCCTGGCCTCTCAAACAAGCGGGTTCCCCCCACCCCCAAGTAAGCTGGGCTCTGCCTCCTTCCTGTAGCATCTGGCAGCCAGCAATACTTCAGCTTTGCAGACCTTGTAAAGGGCTTCCAAGCAATTGTAATGCCCCGCCCACACCTCACTTGAGATGCAGGGAACAAGAGGTTGTACCAGACAAGGTCAGCCCATGAAGTGATCTAGCCTCCTCAAAGGCAGACTTTTGAATATCCCCCCAACACACTCCTAACTCCCGGCTCCCTGAATAGTCCAAAGGAAATAAAACGATTAGGATCCAGAAATCCTACCGACACCGAAATGCTAAGAATGACGTTTGGTGAGCACATACTTCACAACAGACAGCCAGTTACTCTTCCATCACAGTACTGCTCACACACACCTCAAATCGCTGCAAGTTCGTCCTGCTAACCCATTTTCCGTTGAGGTATGTGACATTTAGGAAAGCTGAGAAATGTATCCAAGGTCACAGGGTCAGCAAGTGGGACAGTCAAGCTTTAAATCCTGCCACTTTATCAGCAAACCTATGTCTGTGACTGCCTTGTAGAGTCATTTGCTCCTAGACAGAGGCAGGGATTCCAGACAGAAGGGTTAATAACCTTCATGTCCAACAACCTTCAACACTGGGAAGTCCCTCTTTCTGCCTAGCCACTCTGTGAATCGCTGCAGTATAAACCCAATTCCCTTTCTCTGTGTTTAAATTTGTCATGCCTATACCCTCGCTGAGGTTGGGAGGCTAGTTCAGAGCCTTCCTTCAGTGTCTCTTCGATTCTGATCCTAGTATAGCCTTTTGTGCTTTCAGAGACAGTCCCACAGCAGAACATACCAAAACCTAAAGGGAGGGGGAGGAGGTCACTGAAAGACTGCATGGAAGGGTGGGGGCAAGATTCACCCTTTCTTCCATAGGTTTCTGAGGTCACCCTGTCTCAGCTTCCCCACCTGACAAACAGAAAGCTTTATAACCATCCCAGCTATCCCAGGTTTTGATGGAAGGCCGCCCTTCCCTTCACCCTCTTCTCTTGTTCAGAGAGTCTCCTCTCAAGAAGCCCAGGAGACACGTTCCAATCCGGAAACTTTCTCAAACCACTCCCCCCACACGCCCCCAGGCAAGGTGCAAAGAGGCCCGCGGAGCCCTTCCAAAAGGCTCACTGGTCCGCAGGTCCTCGCCACCCGGCCAGCCATCCTGCCACCTTCCACCCACAGACCGCTCCTCTCCCGCCGCCATATCCTCCCTGCTTTGCGAACTTGCCCCCAGCCGGGTCCTTTCGGCGCGCAGAAACCTAGAGCTCAGAGTCCTGGCAGTTTCCAAGCTCGGCTCTGACTTCCATACAAGGGACGAGAGCCGGGTGCCACCCAGGGCTCTGCCATCTCCAAAGGGAAAGCCCTCGCGCTCAAGTATGCACCCGCGCCCTGGCTTCTCCCTAGCTTCTTCTTGGGCTCAGACCCAAGAAGGCAGAAAGAAAAATCCCGCTCGACTCTCAGACTTAGCGGAGCAGACCCCTCCCTCGCGGCCCCCTCTCCCAGGCCGCTGGGCCTGGCAGCGGTGGCGCGGTGACGAGCCTCCCCGGGAACTTTTGCCTGGCCGGGGCCCAGGTGCGGCTAGGGTGGGAGCAGGCGATCGCCTGGGTCAGGAAGAGAAGATGCTGCTCGGAGCCGCTAGGTCAATTCTGCTTGTCACCTGCCAACGGAATCCGACCTCCGCCGCCAAGGTGTACGGATAGAAAGGGCGCGGGGCGGAGAACCGAGTCCCTTAGAGGCGGCTGCAGGGAGTCCCAAGCTTTTGGTCGCGCCTCCATCCTGTGGAGGGCTGGAACGCGCAGAACCCTACCGGAAGGCAGGCAAAGTCACCAGCCGCCAGAGTTAAAGCACCAGGGGTTCCCCAAAGCTCAGGTTCGACGTACGGTTGTGGACCATGGGGGCCCAAGGAGGGCCAAGTCCACTTCGATTCCAAGACGTTCGTCCCCGAAGCCCATGGGCTCCCACACCTTCCCGCCGAGTTCCTCCCACCCGCAGCTCCCCGGCCCTAGAGCCGGTGCCCCAAGGTGCGCCTGGACGGAGCCGTAGTCTCGCTCCCGGGGGTCGAGAGCCAGATCCCGGAGCAAAGGTCTGAGAAAGCCAGGAGGGTGGGAGGAGGGACGCTGCACTTCAACTCACCTTGAGCCGCAAGACCTCGGGTGCTGATCACACTTGCTATCAAAGTGGCCACATACCAAATCATAGTACTACCGCGCGCCAGCCAAGAGCCTCATCCTATCGCAAAGTGCTCCTGCGTCTGCACACTTATCGTGCCCCAGCGCCCGCTTCTCGCCCGCCTACGCCCCTTGCCGGTGCTCCTGCAGCCCGGGCGGCCCGCTCTCCATCCCTCCCAGACTCCGCTCGGCTCGGCGCGCAGCCTCCCGGGCCCCGGCGCAGCGGCACCTGCACTGCCAACGGAGGCAGAGCGCAGCCAGGACCACGGTGAAACCTAGCCGGGCCTGGCCTCGTGGCCCGCCCCTGACGCCTGCCTATTGGATGTTGCCCACAGATCTAGGGACTGATTGGCTTAACTCTTTGTCCGTCGCTGCGCGAAAGAGGCGAGCCCATTTCAAGGTGCGTTGAAGTGTAACTAGCAAAGAGCCGCAGAATCATGCGCATTGCTTGGGAAAAAGGCGTTGTAGCCTGTTTGCTCTATTCTGTTCTCTGCTCAGACTGCACGGCAAGTTTCTGATGAAATAAATGGTAGCTTCTCGTACTGGCTAATGGGACCCTAGGAGTCTCAATAACCCTTGACAGGTTCGAGGGGAATGGAGCCCCCGCCCACCTTGAGAATCCAACATCCGGTTTCTATCAAGAAAAAAACAGCAGTTCCCGGGAGGATCATGCTGATACAGGGATGGGGAAACCCTAGCATCCTGGGGAAACTAGGGAACGTCCTTTGCTGGAGATCGGTTCAAAGGGGTCACGTGACGCGTCCCCACCCCCACACACACACACACTCCCTTGCACGTTCTCTTCTCAGAGCACACTATCTCCATCAAACGTGATATTAAGTTATGCTCCATCCAGCCCAAAGGCAGGAGGATGACTAAAATGACCTCTAAAAGTCGCTAAATTTGGAATGAGTCATTGGCTCTGCTGCGGCGAATCACAGACCCCTCTGGAACACATGTGCACACGTACTGCCACCCCCACTGCTGGTCATCGTCGCTCATGATTACTAAATCCCAACTCTGAGCAATTAAACTTTTTCCTCCTCCTTCTAAATAAATGCTGCTTCTCCTGCACGCGAATGCCGCTTCCCCTCCCACCTTACTCAGAGCCCAGCCCCGTTTTGCAGCGTAAAGCCACGGTGGAATTGGTGAGCGATTAAGGGGTGGGATGGAAAACCAAGGATAAGGGAAAGGTCCTTCTCATTCCTACAGAAGAAGATAGATAAGAGTTTCCTCTACCCAGGCTCCCTTCTCCAGCATCTCTTCATTTCCTCCCTGAATACAGTTGTATTCACACAATGAATAAATGAGTGTCATGGAGACGTCTACAATCATCTCACACCAGCATGCTGAGGCTGCAGTGAAGACGTGTATTCTTTCAAGGACTGGAAGCAGTGGTGAGAGCCACAGCTCCCTAGGAGGGACTGTTTGTCAGGGATGGAAACGGACGAGGAATGAAGGAGAGCTCTCAAAATGCGCAGAGCCCTGCTCTAGGACATGAAGCTCCACAAAGAACAAGAAACAGACTTGTTGCTGCTGGAAAAAGCCCACGTGTGCACACGGGCTCATGCATTTCACATAGAAAGTGGCTTTGTATGGTGGAGGCCAGCCTTTTCAGAGACTTCCATTGCCATCCAGGGGGGCCCTCGGCAGAGAAGCAAGCACACTGATAAACCTTTATCATCTCAATATAATCTTGAGAACTGGGCTTCTGAACACCTCCAGCTTACCGGCTCACTCTGTTCACAAAAACACACACTCCTGATGAATCACTCTGAGGATATATCTCCATGGGCCTCTGTTTTAAATTCTCTTTCTGGGACAAGATGCCTGGGGGGGGGGGGGTTTGGTGAAAGCTGCAAGCTCTAGACCTCATTGACATACTAATTCTCAGGCAACATGCCCCAGAATCACAATTCTACCCCCAACACATGCATATACATGTGTACCCATAAACATGTTTGCATGCATTCACATACACTCATACATACCTTCTCTGGATCTTAGATCTATCAAGACTTTCTGGGATCTATTTTCAGAACAGGTGATGTAGCTAGGATATGGTTTAATTGTGACCTCACAAAGGTTCATGTTGGAAACTTGATCCCCAAGATGGCAGTAAGAGAATGGAACCTTTTAAGAGGTAAGTCCTAGGGTCTGGAGAGATAGCTCAGCAGTTAAGAACATGCACTATTCTTGCAGAGGGCTCAAGTTTGGTTCCCAGCATTCTTACCAGGTGGCTCACCACTACCTGTAACTCCATCTCCAGAGAATTTATCACACTTCTACAGTCCATGCACTCATGTGCACAAACCCACACAGAGACACATAATTTAAAATAAAGAGGTGAGTTCTACTGAGAAGTTCTTAAATCACTGGGAGGCAAGCTATTGCAAGGTAATTTTCCTGACATCCCCTGGTTATTCTCATAAGAAGGCTACTATGAGCAGAGCTGGACATTGTGGCTCACATCAATTATCCTAGCATTTGGAGGGTCAGGAGTTTGAGTCCTCAGCTACACAGGAAATTTAAGGTCACCCTGAGCTACAAGAGACCCTGTCTCAAAGAAGAAATAGAAGACAAAAGGGGGAGGCCCTGAATAAAGGGAGAAAGACCGACCCCTCCCTCTCTCTACCTACCACCTGACTTGAAATCCAGTCTATTTCGAGGACACCTTAATGCTAATCTATCTTGAGGTCTTCATCAGAAATAAACCAGTGCAGACACCACACTCATGAACCTGCAGAGTTGTGTTCTAAGTGCATCCTTTTTTCTTCATGGAGTCTACTTCCTTGGATGTTTCATGACATCAACAAAAAAACTGGGTGATATAACTGATGACCTCATGATTCTCCCACCTCATGAGCCTTTTGATACCTGTGGAATGATATTCTGTGTCTTCTGAGGCTGGGGTATGAGTCCGTAGGCTGGCCTTAGTTCCTTGAATCCTTGAGGTGGAAGAGACATGACTGTTTAACAACTATGGAGCATCTGCTCTGAGAATCTTTCTTCTAGTGTCCCAATGCCAAGGCAAAGATGGAGCAACTCCCACAATCATTCCCACCATACTTACTTGGCCCCCAGTTCATCCTCAGGAAGATGGTGATGTCTTCTAGGAAGTTAAAACTATAGCAGATCAGAAAGGGGAAAGGGAACATTAAAGCTTAAAAGAAAAAAACTGAACTTGGTAAATGTTCAAAGGAAACTATCTAAGGAGAATATATTTCACTGGAGAACTCTACTGGAAATAGAACAGAACACAAGAATGGAGGCAGAGAGGAAAGGGAAGAAATTTGATTTGAAAAGAGAAAAATTAGCATCATGACCATTATTGTACAACATGTGTCAGTTCATTTCAGACCAGCTCGAGAGAGACATGTTGTAGCAACTGGCAGAGAGGAACGAGGCCAGTCGGATATTCTCCTCTTGACACATGGCTGAGCATTTGATTCAGGAAGGATGGCAATCCCTCCCTCCCTGCAGAGACATCAAGCTGAATACTCAACAGCAGCCTGGACCTCAGCTGCCAAGAGGCATCTGAGAGAAGAATACAAGCCAATCCCTATGAATAGGTGTACCTGGTTCATTATGGATGCCTCCTGTGCTATGCCCATTGGGCATGAGAATGTCTGTCATCTGTGAGCCTCAAGGAAAAGTTCACCTTTTAAAATACATAATTCTACTCTGATTGGTTATTCCCATAAAAACACACTGGCTACCCACTCTCACATGCCAAAGCCCTCAGAGGACACAAACAAAGTAGCCAGCGGCAGCCTAGGTTCCCTCTTTACACCTATTGAGCCATCAAGTCAAAAAGAGAAACTTGTGCTTGTCTTCTTTGGAACTCTTGGTAGGAGTTGGAGTAGGACAGTGGTCAAGGCAGCTCCTTAGAAGAAAGAGGAGGTGGTATAAACCAAAGGAATTTATCCAAAATCAGTTCGAAAATGTTTGGTGGTTCCACAATTTAAAAACTGTACTAATCATCTCCCCCATATAAAAAGCCACCCCAAAACGATACAGTAGCTTAAAGTACCAAAGAGTCGCCTATTTGAGCAAGGCTTGATGGGAACACCAAACATCAGCTCCAGTGGTACATGGACATTCCACTCTCAAGATGGCCCACACGCCTGACTGTTAGCTGGTTGCTAGCCAGGCTTGTTGGTAAAGGTCCATGTCTCATCCTCATGCCAACTTCTCTATAGGCTGCCTGGCCTTCCTCACAGCTTAGTGCGCGTGTCGCAACAGAACCAAGTCGAAATATCCTTTGTATTCTCTTATCCTGGATAGCACAGCCTCATGCCTGTAGGTATGGACTACCTGCCAGGCTAAAAAAGAAACCAGATCTCTGCCTCTCTGTGCAATAATGTCTGCGTCACACCCTGAGATGAGCTTATGGAATGGAGGGCGCATTGCAGCCATTTTGGGACTGGTACAACTTGCTGTGAAAACAGTCTTCAAAATAAAAGCAAAAAGTGAACCCCAGAAGAAATCTCTGGGCAAAATGATATTATGGAAATTGCCTCACACAATTATGGAAGCTGAGAAGTCTAACAATATGCTGTCTAAAAGCTAGAGAACCAGAGATGCTAGTAGTGTGATTCAGCGGGAGTCCAAAAGCCAGAAAGCAGGTGTGGGTTATAGAATCTAAAGATTGACAGCCTAGAATCCCGGGCAAGAGATGGGTATCCAGCTAGCAAAGAAAGCAATTCACCCTTTCTCTTCTGTCTTGTTCTCAACAGGTTGAATGATGCCCGTTCATGGTGGCAGGCAAACAGTTACTCAGTCTACAGCTTCAGTGCTAACTTCTTCAGGAAATGCCTTAATAGCACACCATTAAGTGATCTTTTGCCCATTATCAGGGTACCCTTCAGCCCAGTAGAGCTGACACTTAAAGTTACCCATCACAAAATGGTTTGGCATGCAATTCTGGGTCTAAGATTATTCTCATATTAATTCAAGCACTACTATGCTCCTTAGGCCCAGGGGTGTACCCTTGACACTTTCAAAAGACTAGTCAATTTGAGAAGCTAATTCTACTACCTTTTTTCTCTAAATACAACATAGATCTAGTCTGTGTGTTTTGGAAGAACTTAGCACCAAGTCTGGTGGAGCATGCCTTTAATTCCAGCACTTGGAAAACAGAGACAAGTAGGTTTCTATCAGTGGGAAGCCAGCCAGGACTATACAGTAACACCTTGTCTCAAAAAGAATGGGAGGAAGGAAGGAAG